TCCCATAGCATCGCTTCTATGACGCAGCATCTCGCTCCCTTCTCTGGGAACCACGGTTACAGATGTAACCTGAGACGTCTTTTATGTAGCTTTCTTTCTAATAGGTGCAACGACATTGCAAGAAGTAAAAAATGTTAGTGCTTTCAAAGTACAAAATAATATATAAATGGGCTAATTACTTATCTGACTTTAAACTAGATCATTAACATCTGAGGTTATGACTGGAACCTATGCTCCCTGAGAACAGAGAACGAGACACTGCGTCGATGACACTATGGGGAACGCCTCCGTGTGAACCGGTGTCTGAAAGCTTATCCAATCACGACAATCGTATTGACCGGGGACACGGCAGCTCATCCACTGCGTCAGGGGAGAGACCCTGACCCTGGTCCAAATCCTTTAGCAGGTCAGCCTGGTACTCTTGTAACACAGACATAATGTGCAAAGCAGCACCAGCCTGACCCGCTGCCGTGGATACCCTGTCATTCAAGCGAGATGTCATCTTGAGTGTCTTAGGAGGCAGGGCCGAAGCTTTCAGTGCCTCTGCCTCTCTTGGGGGCATCAATACATACCCGTGTTCACGCATCCCCTCAACATCAGCATAGTTTGCTCGCTGATGGTGATGGATGCGTGCTGAATACAGGTTCCTTCATGCCTTCTTGATATCATTGTGTTGATCAGGATGGAATGGAAGGCTCACGGGAGCTGGGGAAAGGATGGTCAGAAAGTACCTCCCCTCACGCGCTCCCACGTCAACTGAAGCCTCGCTGAAGCGTGCTCCATAACACCCAACAGCTCTACATACGCGAGGCAGGGAGGCTGTGGGGGTTCAGGTTGTACATCTTCTTCACCCTAATCAACCATCTCCTGCTCTCTTGGGCTGGGTGCCAGCAGAGCACTTGCTGCTGGATCAGAGGATGTAAGTGGCAACACATCCTCTTCCAGCAGCGCACGCCCACGAGCTTCTGACGTGCATGAGAGAGAAACACCTCTCTCAAACTCATCAGCGAGCTCCATCTGGGATCCCCACGATCTAAGTCTCCGCTCTGCCTCAGCGTGAGTGGGACCCGAACCGCTGGGTGCAGATGCCTGTTCTTCTTCCCTCGAAAAGAGGGCCAAACGAAAACAGAGTTTTCTTAGGGGAAAACTCTCACAGTTTGCAGAACCATGTCTCTCAAGAGCTGATCGTGCGTGCTCTTCGCCCAAACAGTAAACGCAGAAGTTGTGTGTGTCATCAGGTGTCAAAAACCTGGGACACGGATCCACACACTTCTTGAAACGTTTGTCAGCCATAATTCACCTTGAACGTTTTCCAGGTGATCGCAATTCAAACAAGACGAAAAGAGGATGACGTTCTCTAGGTGCCCCTTTTATACCTCCGGGTCGCACTAGTAGTGACGTCATAGGTTGACGATGGTCAATTCGATTGCCGTGATTGGCTAAGCTTTCAGACACCGGTTCACGCGGAGGCGTTCCCCATAGTGTCATCGAAGCAGTGCGAGTTCCCTTTCGAAAGGGAACTAATCCGTCACACTCTGGGAGTCAGCATAGTATTTGTGGCTGAAAATAAGTATACTTAGTTTTTTGGTAATTTAGATAAAAAAAATTTTGTTTTATTTATTTAACTTAATCTAATCTAGTTAAGTGGATTAAGGCTAAAAGTTTGCACAATTTAATTAAGTAAAATTAACAAATGTACTTTTTTACTGATTTTTATTGAATCCTCTGTTGTCCATGTTACTTAGGCTATCGCGCCGGCGCGCCGAGCTCACTTTTTTCCTTATCAGTGCAAAAAAAAGACTCAAATTACTCTGTTGATTTTGATCTTACATATAAGTGTTGTAGCCTACATTATTAGATCCTGTTAAGTGTCTATTTTTTTTGTGGATACTCTTTACACTTTTTGTCAAATAAAGAAAAATAAACATGATGCAAATTTTGCGTTCTCTCTGTCAGTGAAGTTCATTCTGAAACGCGTCCGAAAATGAACTGTAACTAAGTAAATACTTGTCACACAGGCACGAAAGATTTTTCGATATGAAGTTGAAATTCTCTTCTTTTAAATGAAGTAATTTATATAAAAAACAAATATTCTCAGTTTAGGTAATCTGTATGAAAAGAGAGAGATGTCAGTCTTTTTCCTTTCAGCTAATTATAGCGTATGACGTGTTAATGTGACACGCCCACTGAGAGCGCGCGCTATTCAAACGCTAATGTTGAGGCAAGCCATGAAAACGCCCACATCAGCTGGATAAAACATCCAAAAGGTTACCTCAGAAGTGCTGGTAGTTTCATTTCGAGGAGCTGGTGGTAGATTCTTTCCCTATTTAGCACCAAAACTTTGGAACAGTCTTCCTAACATTGTCCTGGAAGCAGACACACTCTGTCAGTTTAAATCTAGACTTAAAACATCTCTTTCACCTGACATTTACATAGAACATTATACATTTCTATTATTCAAATCAGTTAAATGATTATTAGGCTGCATAGATTAGGTCAGCCAGAACCGGGAACACTTGCTATAACACATGATGTACTCGATGTACTGATATCCAGATCAGTTGGTGAACCTGCGCCTGGACACGACCACAACGCATCCCTGCAGTGCCAGCCTCATCAGCCCTGTGGAGGCCTCATGGACACCTCTACAAACTCGTCTCCATACCGGCGTGACTCCGACCTCCAACCAGAGGGAACTGGATAATATTGTGAATGTTCTGATCCAATCTGACTTCTGACCTGTAATGTTGCCTGAATCATAATCACACACACTGTTCGCTCGTTGGCCAGAGGAGAACTGGCCCCCGACTGAGCCTGGGTTCTCCCAAGGTTTTTTTTCTTCTTTCTGTCACCTGATGGAGTTTTGGTTCCTTGCCACTGTCGCCTTGGCTTTTGGCTTGCTTAGTTGGGGACATTTAATATTCAACAATATTATTGATCTGCCTTACTTCAGGTGGACGATGACGCAATTTTCTTCTAGAAACAAACTTGCATTATTTTCATGTTATCACTGTGAAGCTGCTTTGATACAATCTGTATTGTAAAAAGGGCTATATAAATAAAGGTGACTTGACTTGACTAGAAAGCACAAGCTCCCCTCTTTAAAACAATGGCAATCAAAAACACACATGGGTGCAAACTGGACTTTTAGTTTTAATCCTAACATAACATTATCAAGTAAAACTATACAAAGAACTAATTGAAAATGATTTGCACATACTCAAATGATTTTTGTCCACTTTACTTTAGTTTCTCTAGTTCATACAACTAAATTGAATTGATAGTGTCACATGTTAGATTGGATTACATCAACTGAATTTTCCCTATGCCAGCAAAAGTCCTTTTTTTCTTATCCCCCAGAACTTTTGCATATCCATATTTTATACCAATGTGTTTTTGAATGTCTGGACAGCAAATTATTTCTGTTGGACAGTATTTTTTTCGAATCTGATTCAAACCACCTTTGTAGGCACAACGATACCGTCACAACCATTGGCGGAAATGCCGTAAGTATTCATACGGTATTCAAACGGTATGTCCAAAGAATTTGGCTTGACTTCAGCATACAACATCACAATATATACCAGTCTCCTGTCGAGTTTTTCTTGCACGACAGAGTTCTGCACCACAACTCGACAGGGCACTTAGGCTACGTTCAGACTGTCAGTCCAAATCCGATTTTTGTGCATATTCGATTGAAATCCGATTAGATTTAGCATGTGTGAACGCAAAAAATCACACAAAATAAGATTTTTTTTCCAAATCCTTTTCAAGCTTTATCCATATGTGGTTTGAAATCCTTTTCAAATTGCATTTCTGGAAATCCGTTTCAGTCTGAACGCTCTGATCGGATTTTGCATGGTTTATGTGACTTTCTCACACTACGTAAAACGTAAACGTCAGACGTTATATGAAACATGCTGAAAGTCGCTGCCGAAATAATGCTGTGTTGTTGCAAAGTGTCGGACGAGCAGAAAATGACAATATAACGGAGACATTGTAAACCGGCGGAGACGACGGCACGGAATACAGCCGCTCACACCAGCCTCCGGTTCTGCCCTCAGGAGACGCAGTACACCAGCGCGGCGGCGGCTACATGTTGTCATGTTGTAAAATTTTAATTAGACAACATCTCTATTGCAAACCCCTCCATGTTGCGGTTGTTGTTGTATGGCGTATTCCTACCAACAATGTCATTGCCATTGAAACCAATGCAGATATTCCAGAAAATGAAAGAGCTGCATGCACACACAAATCGGATCTGAACAGATCACAGTGTGGACGTCAATCATTCTAGATCAGATTCGAATTGGACACACAAATTATCTGATTTGGACTGACAGTGTGAAATATAGCCTTATTTGGAGAGCGAGATGATGCACCTCGATTTTTCTGCATCCGTTTTGAAAGCCTTGTCATATGTGGGTCGATACTTACAGCGTTACCAAAGCAATAGGTTGGTTATGTCTGGATACGCAAATCTTGATCAGTTGCAATTAATAGTGCGGACAGTCTGCCAGTAAAAATCTAATTTGAGGGGGGAAAAATCCAATTTGCCTGCAGTCTGAACATAGCCTTTGTGAATTGACCCCACTGATGTAATTGCAACAAAATAACATTTTAGCTCAAAAGTTGTTATATTGTGAATATATATTTAATGTACATTTACATTAAATATATATTTTTTAATACACATTTTATATGTTAAGAAATAGTTGGTGTTTGGTGGGTGTGGAAAAGAGGGAATTCTACTACTATTCTAACTCATTTCTGTGTGTAAAGGTCAAGCAGGTGATTGTTGATCTGGCATTATTATACAATATTATTATTGATGAAGATGTTGCTGATGCTGCTAATGATTACGGGGGATGGGTTGCATGACTGAGCTGTACAGTGAACAGTGTAACTCTGAGCTCATGTCATGTCCACCCCCTCCGCGGACTCCCCCTTTATCTGCGATCATACTGAGACCCAGCACAGGCTGAGACAGCACCGAGGAGGACAGGAGCCATGGCCGTGTTCTCTGCGCTTCACTTACTCTTTCTGTTACAGCTGGTGACATCGGCACTCGCCCAGGTAAGAGATGCGGGACGATCGACTATTAACCGGCCGCTTCGGCTCATTGCTTGGGATCTGCATATCCATATTAAACGGGTCGATTGGTTGCTGACTATAATAATATCCAGGCTGAGAACTTTAGCGCATTGTGGAAACAATATCAGTTAACCTCAGTGGGTAGCTAACGAGTTTGTAACATGTATGGAAGTAATCACCCTTTCGTTTATAAACGCTTTTCAATGCTTTGTGGACTGACTGTAATGTGTGGACTGTAAAAGTGCAGAGATGACCTGACTCTTCAATATGCTGTGTGGGTGTAACTAAAAGTTAACATCTTACTTGAATAAATCTCATCATTAAGATGTTACAACGTGAGGGAAAAAATCAGGTTACCGTACGAAACATTTTTGTTCACAGTGTAACGTGATCGTCAACAATGGCATCTTTGTGAGAACTGTGCAGTGTTTGCCCACTTCACTCACCTCACTTCATTTGTGCTCATTATGTTGGTCTTTTTCTGCCTGAATATTTAAAACTGCTATATGAATCACTTTTTGACCAGTTGGTATACACTGATAAACAGATTTATTTTGAGTTTTTAATTTGAGTCGTGTTGAGACAGGAGGGCAGTCCCCATACACTGTATGAGCTGAGAACAAAACACCTGTGGAATTCCTTTCTTTTCTTTGTACATTTGCTCATCTGATTATTGTCCTTCTTGATGGTGTGTCTGCATCTGTTGCAGAGGCCGGGTCCTCGAGGCACACTGGGGACGCCGGGGCCACCGGGACCCCCAGGGAAAGATGGCATCGATGTGAGTTTAGACACATTATATCTAGATTACATTCTCTTTATCAGTTTTTATTTGCTTCACATTTTAGGTGAAAAATAAGAAAACATCTAAATATTCGTTTTTGACAGATTTAACAGATTTTCATTATGTGAATTCAATTACTCTCATCATTAATCTTCACGATTGGCAAGGTCGGGGAAAAACAATTTCATTTTCTAAACACCACTGTATTGCAATGTAATGGTTTAACTGTTTAGACAAGCCGTGAATCCTTACAGACGTTTACTTGTTAAAGGAAAGACTCTCAGGAATTTACGCATGCAAACGATGAAAGCTGTGAATGTTTCCTTAGTAAACGAAAATCTGCTTAGCGCAGGCTGTGGCAGTGCAGTGACAGAGAGCCCATTCATTCAGCCTCAAACCAAACACACTCGTCTCGAGTTTCCCCGACCCCCTCCAGCTCGCTCTCCTTCTCCACACGCTCCTCGTGTTATTCAGAACAGCAGAACAGCTTTCCTGACTGTAGATGTGTGCTAATGTAGTCATGATTGAGAAACTCTGTGATCTCTGCAGGGAAAACCTGGCCCTCCTGGACTCCCCGGAAAGCCTGTGAGTATCTCCTGATCTTCTCGTAGCGTATGAATGCTTGCACTGGTTTACTCTGCTGGTGCAGTGCTAAAGATGCCGGAATGGCCGCTACCTCACATCTCTGATGGTTCAGTGCTTCTCCATGCAGATTTTGTATCAGTAATGAGGTAGACTGTCATGTCATGTCTTAAGCCCGTCCAGTGAGGACAGCAGCCGGAGCACAGTGCATTATTCCCATGAAGCTTTTTTGGTGAAGATGCAATAAATGACATGTAAACATAAAATCGAGACAGATTATATTGTGTAAGATGGTGTTTTACCTTAGTTTGTGTTTGGATGGCAGGGGCCGAAAGGAAAAGCGGGTGGCCCTGGGGCCGCGGGGAGCCCGGGACTGCCTGGCCTTCCTGGTGTGGATGTAAGTCATGAACCAACGCAGCATTTCCAGCGGCACACACAAACTCTGGGGGATTCTTTAAACTCATTTATGTAAAGGAAATCATTTAAGCACTATAAATGTTGGCGTCTGATCATGGAAACGTCATGTCCTGTAGGGTTTGACCGGTTCGGACGGTCCAGCTGGCAAAGACGGACCCCCAGGAGCAGCAGTAAGTAACTCTCAGTTTTTATGAGTTGAGTAAAATGAGTCTCTCCACACCTAAACATAACCCGTTCACACACTTTTCAGTTTGGAGGTGTTATGATGACTAAAGCCCTTCTACTGTAGTATTTGTCTCTGAATCTCTTTCTATTTAAGGGAACTGTTATGCCCCTTTCACAGGGGGTAATATAGGTCCACAGATAATTTATTATAGCATGTCCAACTTCCTCTATTTGGGTGTGAGCAAAAACACGCCGTTATTGTGTGTACCTTTAAATGCAAATGAGCTGCTGCTCCCGCCCCTTTCCAGAAGAGGGCGGGGCTTTTACAGCTCATGCTTCGGATACTTCACTACAACAAAACTGGAGAATCTTACGTAGCTAAAATGTTAGAAACTATGTTTTATTACAAAAAGTTTGTGAGGAGCACGTTATTCCTGTCCTAGCCGGCCTTACATGTTCAAACCAGAGATGAACACTGACGGAGAGACTCAGGAAGAATGTTTCTGAACGCTTAGATCAGGGGTCTCAAACTCAACTTAACTGGGGGCCGCTGGAGGTAGAGTCTGGGTCAGGCTGGGCCGCATCAAGTATTCCACACAAAAAAAAAAATAGTATTCAAGTATTCCAAAAAAGGAGCACAACTGATCCAATCTTCTCAATCTTTATTATTAACGTTTATTCTGATCTGTTCCTCTGAATTTGAACATTCCTTTCTGTACATGATTGGTTCTTCATGAGCTGTCCTTCTGACAGTTGAAGTTCATTTTACAAACATTCTTTTCCTTTTCCTTATAACACATTTTTGTGATTGTTATATTTGCTTATGTCCTTTTTTATTTCCAATATGAAATTGAATGTTTTTTTGGAAGGCACATTTCCTTTTATTATACTTAGAAAAACAATTATTGCTTTTGAAATACAAATATTTGCAGTCATGTCTGCCCGTCTTAATGAATTCTTTCTACACATGTATAGTGTCTCAAGGCAAATTACTGACTTTGCACAAATCAAAGCAAACCTTTTTATCAACCTGTTGGACACATATTACAAGCTCAAAATGACTATTCTCACATTGTTTTAGAGCAAGGGTCTCCAACACGTCGCTCGTGAGCTACCAGTAGCTCTGGCCTGATTGGTGGTAGCTCGCCAAGGGGCCGTTCACATATCGCGCTCACATATTTTGCGCGCTCAAGTTCGTTATTTCAAATGTAGGCGCGCGGCAAGTGCGCTCATAATAGAAGCGACGCGCTCATTTTTTCCAGGCGCGTTATGTTTGTACTTCGCGGTTGTCTATGACAACTATTGACAACAAACCCACCGTAAGCTGTCACGAGACTATCTATGGTAGACCATAAGGGATAAAAAAAAAAAACGCACATGCAACGACGGGCCGCACTAACATTAAACTTTAATGTCAAATAGGGGGCCACAAAATATCACCACGCGGGCCGCGAGTTTGAGACCACTGGCTTAGATGATGGTATTATGTAGTTGTTGTGGAGTTTATTCAACCTATCGGCTAGCATGTTCCGCCCTGATCCTCTATGAACTGTTGTAACGCTGCTCATGTGGGAACTGTGGTAGGGTGTTGGTATCGATCCATCATCAGAATCAACTGTTGTGCAAATCCAGCGTTGAACTGACCCTCATTTGCGAATGCAGTCCGGTGTAAAATAATTCGCACAAACACATAAGACATTCATTTCTTTGACACATTTCCTTCATAAATGAAATGTATCCACTGTGTCCTCAGTCTATGGAGTCTATGGAGGCTTATGTTCATTGGTACATCCAAAAACAGAACATTTGTAATGTTTATGTGGCCCAGATATAATATCAATAGGAGTTATAGCGAGGATATAAACATGGCGGACTAAGTTTCGGCACACTCAGGGCGAGATCTATGCTAATAGGACAGATCGTCACCAGTCAATGTGATGCCACTTGTGGGCGGGACCTGTACAATGTGATGCCACTTGTGGGCGGGGCCTGTACAATGTGATGCCACTTGTGGGCGGGGCCTGTACAATGTGATGCCACTCGTGGGCGGGGCCTGTACAATGTGATGCCACTTGTGGGCAGGGCCTGTACAATGTGATGCCACTTGTGGGTGGGACCTGTACAATGTGATGCCACTTGTGGGCGGGACCTGTACAATGTGATGCCACTTGTGGGCGGGACCTGTACAATGTGATGCCACTTGTGGGCAGGGCCTGTACAATGTGATGCCACTTGTGGGCAGGGCCTGTACAATGTGATGCCACTTGTGGGCGGGGCCTGTACAATGTGATGCCACTCGTGGGCGGGGCCTGTACAATGTGATGCCACTTGTGGGCAGGGCCTGTACAATGTGATGCCACTCGTGGGCGGGGCCTGTACAATGTGATGCCACTTGTGGGTGGGACCTGTACAATGTGATGCCACTTGTGGGCAGGGCCTGTACAATGTGATGCCACTCGTGGGCGGGGCCTGTACAATGTGATGCCACTCGTGGGCGGGGCCTGTACAATGTGATCCCACTCGTGGGCGGGGCCTGTACAATGTGATGCCACTCGTGGGCGGGGCCTGTACAATGTGATCCCACTCGTGGGCGGGGGCTGTACAATGTGATCCCACTCGTGGGCGGGGCCTGTACAATGTGACGTCACAGTAGGGAGAAAACTGGAACGGTCACGGTGAGTCAAGTCATCTTTATTTATATAGCGCTTTTAACAATATAGATGTTTCAAAACAGTTTATAGACACTGTTATAGATATTGTTATAGATATAGATATTGTTGATAGACACTGCTTTTGATTTGTGGGGATTATAAAAAGAGGAGTGGGTGGATTTTACTATTGTAGGCTGCTTACACACACTGTGGACACACATCAGTGTTCAAACACCATGCAAAAGTGAATGCTGCATAATAGTTCCCCTTTAAAAACTCCTTTGTAGGTGTGATTTTCAAGCAACATTTTGTGTCCATAAATCATGTGTTCATATTGTGTGCTCGGCACAGTGTGCAGCCATAGCAGAGCCGTGGGCCGCTTTAATGAGGATCAGGTGACTTCAGATGAATTCCTCTTAATCCAGCCTGGAATGTCAAGTCTTCTTCCCACCACAGGTTTTCTTTTAATTAGTTTCTTGGAATCAGCTGAAATCATCATCACTCTGTGTGGCTGATAGCAGCGAGCTGTGGATCGGGAAGTTCATGTGATATTTTATAACAAAGAAAATGTGTTGCACAATGACACTGAGCTATTCAGTACTGAAGGATGGGATTTACATTTCACATTACAGTGATGAAAAACTGTGATCCTAATGATGAGGCTATTCGGCGAGAGGCATACTGTTCATCAACCCAATGTTGTGTAAAAAACTTCATCTCATCAAATAGTGAGTTAAAAAAGTAAGAAAGTATTTGTAACAAATGCAATATTACATAGAGAAATGTTTTGTTTACGGCTTAAAGTGGACCTATTATGCAAAATTCACTTTAATACGGTGTTTGAAGACAGATGTGTGTCCACAGTGTGTGTAAACAAGCAGCCTATAATGGTAAAAATCCACCCAAATCTTTTTTTATAATCCCCATAAATCATTATCAATCTCTCAGAACAAGCTGTTTCACATGTCCCCCTCCCCCGAGTAACCCCAGAGTGCAGTCAGGGCGATGGGGGCGGGCGACACATGTGGGCGGGGCAACACGTGTCGCTCCGCCCACATCTGATTTTATTGGTTTATAATACAGGAATCTTATTGGCGTAGACGCTTGAGGCATGAGCATGCGCATTCCTTTATGAATGAGTCTATGGTATGAGTTTATGAATGATCTAGGACGCTGTTTGGCCATAAGTCAGGGCCACTTTTAGTGGCTGCATGACTGCATGAAATACTGGCATATCAAAGAAGAGATCATTTCTATATAGGCTGATTTAGACAATATTTTTCCGCATGTCATGCAGGGCTCCGTAATTTTACATCATTCGTTTATGCTTCTTCGTTTTTCCATTAGGAGCAGTGAATAAACACAAACTCAGGATTTTACACAATGATGATAATTCACTGTATTTCAGTAAAACATCGGATAAATCTGAAAATGTGTTTTATTTTATTTTAAAGCAAAACCACAGTGACAAATAAGACAATAATAGGCTACCAAATAGCATACAACCCCTGGCCATTGGGTTTTGTGCGTACAGTGGGAATAAAAACCCTGCAGTGCTGAAATGTGAAAATAAATAAAAAAATATTTTTTTACTAAAACATGTTATTATGTCGATCTATAGCAAATATTGTTATTTATGTGCTCAAGAGCGTATTTAAGCAATAGCCTACATGTTCATATCACTTCTCTGCTGGCTATTTTATTTATTTTATTATATTATAATTATAATTGCACAGATTTACAGCAGTGGGTGTTTTTATGGTTATGCAGCTAGCCTATATGTGTTAATATTTAAAAACATTTTTATCCCGTAGCCTACATATACGCATATTAAAACATGAACACGGAATAAATAATGGATTTTTAATATACCTGATGTCACAGTCACAGATAGTCATACATGTTAACCAGTTGACACTTATTAGAAAACATGAATCTTTAAAAACTATAATATGGCTTTACAGAACCAATATATAGGCCCTCATATTTTATTAACAGATAAACAACAAGGAAACATGAGTTTGCCATTAAACATTGTATTTGCACTTTGTACCAAATAATGCAAGCATTGGACAACAAATCTCGTTAAATCAGCTGCTTACATTCTTACAGTGAATTATCATCATTTGCGCTGATCCACCGATCCTGATAGAAATATGAAGAAAACAAGTGAATGACGTGCTAATGTAAAACATCTCCCTGAAGTACAGTGCCGTCACCAAGCGTTCGTTTTTAAACAATAACTTCATCTTTTCTGTGTCTTAAGTACAATAAAACATTAGCCAATAGATCTTAACTAACATTACCATGGTAAACCGATAATAAGATACGATTAAAGTTCTGAATCGTCTACACCAATAAGATTATAAACCAATTAAATTGGGGGTGGGCGGAGCGACACGTGTTGCCCCGCCCAAATGTGACTCCGGCTCAAACATGAAGCCTGCACTCGCTACTGGGTATTATTCACATTTTGCCTGAGAGAAATTCTCAAATGTTATGTTGTTCCAGTATCTGAAGCTCGTGTAGAGGATCGGCTGTCGTCTGAACGGGGCGGGAGCAGCCGCTCATTTGCATTTAAAGGGACACACACACAAAATGGAGCGTTTTCCCTCACACCCAAAAAGGGGCAACTTTGACAAGCTATAATAAATGATCTGGGTGGTATTTTGAGCTGAAACTTCACAGACACATTCTGAGGACATCAGAGACTTAGGCCTTGTCCACACGGACACGGGTATTTTTATAACCGGAGTTTTTCCTACAGCGTTTAAAAAAAAAATCCCGTTCACACATGCTCGGTCTCCGTCTACATGAAAACGTAAAAACACGCTATCAAGCGCAGTCAAGAGCATGCCACGCCAGCAGGCGGCGATATAAACCTTAACCGTAAAGCCACGTTGGCCAATCAGAAGCGCAAATCTGACGTCAAACACATAGACAGTATAAGAAGTGGACAGAGCCATCTCATTGGAACTCAGTTGAGACAGTTGAAGCCCATTTTTAGCGATTTTTGAGCACTTCCGTTCCTGACGCACAGACTCAAACCGACTCAAACTAAGCTTGATGGCGTGAGCAACCTGTCTGACAGACGTTAATCTTCTAGTAGCTGTGCGTGAAAATTGCCAACGTTAATCTTGCAGAGACGGAGAACTTGAGCAAAGAGTTCTTTGGCGTGAGTGAGCAGGAGTAAGTATTCCGTTGCTTTTATGGACTCATTATCTATGGGCTTCTCCCTTGACGGGGCGTCCCCCCGATCGCCTGCGAGCTTCTCCTCCTGTCTGTACGGTCATTTCTGTACAGCGCGACAGAGAGTCGAGTGGTTATGACGCAATCGTTAGCCTATTTTTACTAAAACTGTTTCTACGGGGCCATAATGTAACATAGAAGGTAATGGAGCCCTTTATACATTGTCGTGTTTCTTTAGAAATAAATAATGGACAAATGGAGTCTTTGAACGCCTCAGATGTGAAGTTATTCGCTGTCAAAGTGACGCCAAAATGAATGGGAGTCAATGGAAATGCTAACGCAAGTGAAGTTCTGCTACAACATGGCGGCACCCGGCCGGCTTCAACTTCCGGTCGATGGATTACCCCCTTGGTCAAACACAGCGGATAACGGCGCACACTCTGACGTCGCAAGGCAAAAACCCCGGTTTCACTGTCTACACGACAACACTGTAACCGGCGTTTCTGAAAATCCTCACCCTGGCAGGGGTTTTCAAAAATGTTCGGTTTCAGTGACCTGATACTGCGTTTCCGTGTGGAGGAACGGCCGAACCGCGTAAAAAAAGTCACGGTTATAAAAATACCCGTGTCCGTGTGGACAGGGCCTTATATTACATCCTTTGAAAATGGGCATAATAGGTCACCTTTAATTGACATAAAGACCCGCACCTGCATTAAATCTTCTACATCAGGTAGACAAAACATATGTATTTCCTCATGTAACACAAGCAATCAAACCAAAATTAAGTATTCAGAGTTGATGCATTTAAGAGAAATAGACACACAGCCCAACACGGTAATAATTACTGTAATAAAACAATACAAAACTTCTACCTACATCATGAGAACAATCATACAGGCTGTTTTGAACAAATGTTGCTAAACCACCCCACAGGTTATACAGACCGTAGAGGTCTACAGAAGAACCAATATGAGCCTTTACTGTCATATCATTTCGGGATAGGCTATTTTAGTGGATTCACTTCATTTTAATGTGGTATTCAAATTGTGAATAGATTATATACATTGTAGCCAATCCCACTGCGACTGTAAAGTCTGAAGTGATTGACTGGCTACAATGCTCAACGCTGTGATCAGAAACCTTTGACCGTCACACTACTGCGTGAACACAAATACGCACGGGACCGTTGAGCGCAGCTGCCTGACGGTGGGGTTCGCATTGGGTCGGAATAGTCTGGGCTGTTGGACCCACGGTCCGCCTGGCCTACTGATTCCCCACCCGCACCGCAAATGACAACCTAAATATTATTCCACCCGTTACATCCGATATTAGCAGTTTACCCATCGGGCGGTTGAGTTTGGGGAGCTTCCATCATTGGGAAACGCAAACTGTTTCTGTCTCCTGTTTCGCAGTTGCCAACTGAGACTTAATATTGTGTTGTTGTTTTTGTAGGGAGACCCAGGACCTCCAGGACCAGGTGGACCCCCTGTATGTGCCCAGCATGAGTAAATCCACTGTAAACACAGTCATATGACACTGCAGTCACAGGATTCAAAGAAGTTCTTCAGTCACACCTGAAAAGTGTAGCTTCTTTATTATATGAAAGTCTCATAAACAATTCATGCCGACACCATCATTTTCTCATGCATTCAAACCACCATCATTACTTACACTCTCAAAACATTGGTGAACTTACCTGCACTCTCAAAACATCATCAATATGCAGTATATAGTGTCCTGATGACACGCATGGCCAGGGTTTGTGATGAGATGTGCTCTCTTGTCGTCCTCAGGGCAGAGGCAGGCCAGGAGCTCTGGTGAGTACAGCCGGTCAGAGACGAGGATAAGAGGAGGCATTAGCCCAGTGATGGCTCAGTTCAACCCGGGGCCTAAGATTCAATCTTTTTGCACTGGCTCCGAGTTGTTTTATGTACATTTATTATCCAGCATGCATGGATACACAACAAATGTAAATGTGTGGAGCGTCTGCTCTTCTCTGATCTCAGGGTCTTGCTGGAGAGAACGGGCTTCCAGGTGGAGCGGGCCCTCAGGGGCCGCCGGTGAGTGCGCAAACACATGTTGTCGTTCATTTGTAATGGATCTACTAGAACGCTGTCTACACTGCACACATAAAGCACTCGTTCAGGCACAGTGATCAGTGACGCTGGTCTGTGATTGGTTGTAGGGGCCGGAGGGTCTTCCAGGACTTCCTGGTCTTGCAGGCGTAGATGGACCTCCTGTAAGTACATCTCAAACTAAAAGTGCAGAAACACATTTCTTTTATTTGAATAATCCCGTTTTATGTATCATCCTCCTCCTTTTAGGGACTTCCAGGAACTCTTCCTGAAGGCAATGGAGATCTGCTGGTGAGTTAAAGCCACTGTAACGTCCTCAACACTGTGTGTCCAGCTTACACACATCCATCTCCACATGTACGGTCTTACAGTGTTGAGAGGTTATTGTGAGTGTCATCCCGTTTTCAACACACATCTTTATTTTTAGACTACTGCGTCTGTAGGAAGAGCTTCTTACGAGGAAGGGTACATCTTCAGTGGTCTTGTTTTTCTCTGCATGCAGATTGATTACATCATTGTCTTGTTTGTAGTGTCCGGCCATCTGTCCTCCGGGTCCTCCTGGACCGCCTGGGATGCCTGGATTCAAGGTACTTATGATGATGACACATCTGTCTCTCATTACAGTAGATATCACAGATTGCTGAGCTGCTTCTGCTTTCGTTTAGGGTCATACAGGTCATAAAGGAAGCAAGGGAGAGCTGGGGAAAGACGGAGAGAAGGTGAGATTTTACCACCCTGGAAACACTATTCTAAAGCTGTCCAGAAACTGTGTTAAAACTCTTTGAGATTGAAACAGAAGCCGAAAACAGCTTGTTGTGATGTGTTTCTCTCCATCAGGGTGATCAGGGGCCGCCTGGTCCTCCGGGAACCCCAGGGACAGTGGGATTACAGGTGGGAGAAACTCACACGCCGTCTTACTGTCCCTCAGCTACACTTACCAAGGCCTTAGCAATGTCTTGAACATTTGGGGGAGATTTAAAGGGAATGAACTATATTTAAATAAATATGCACACATTCACCGTTAAGGGCCGTGACACACCAATAGACTACTGATACCTGCTGATACGGACAGATCTTCCCTGACACGCAGACACAGACACACGTGCTCGTCGACCGTGGTCTGCAGTCTCTGTGTGTGTTCATGCAGTCGGCGCACAGTCGGCTTCCATCGCCGCCAGTTTTTGTGACGTCGGCTTGGTGTGTCATGGCCTTTAAGTCAAGTCAAGACAAGTCATCTTCATTTATATAGCGCTTTTAACAATGGAGATTGTTTCAAAGCAGCTTTACAGAGATAAACATACAATTTACGGTAACAGAGATTGTTTTGGCTTTATAGCGGTTCTTGAATACTGTTATTTCCGGCTAAAGTTGGTTTTGATTGATTCACTTCCAGCAAAATTATCATTTGTTATTACATTAGGGGCCACTAAGACGACGGCGTTCTCTCTAAACAGACTTTAAACGCGAACCTGTGACCTGATGGCGTTCACATGCGCATTAAAAATTGATTCTATAGTTATATTCGTTTGAATATGTGTGGGCAGGTTTGTAATTTCCCTACAAACCATGCCTAAACAAACTACTTTAATCGTATGCCTAATATTTCCAAGACGGCTCTGTTGATGTTTCTTGTCTCTCACATTCAGTCTCGAATTACATTACATGAATTATGTAAATAATGGGCCATTATTCATAGGCAATAGTTTACATCATTAGTCGTTTAAGAATGATTTTTTAAATATTGAATGCTTAGCTATTTACATCTCTCCTGATACTCTTTCACTGTTAAACTGAAGCATTGCTCTGGAATGCGCACTCGTCCTCTGTGAACAGTAGGCTCCGCCCGCTTCAGTTTGATCTCGCTGTTAGACCGCTGAGCAGCCTAAAAATGTCACTTTATAAAATATATATATTATCCTAACAACAATGAGAGTAAATGGAGTGCTCCAGATCAGTGTTTTCCAACCTTTTTTTGCCACGGCACAGTTCTGATGAGGGAAGAATCCCATGGCTCTCCACTAAGCACTAAATCAAAAAAATTGCACAAACATGCATTGCTGCAAATGGCATATTAAAACTGGATATTACATTAAAAGTAGTAATCACATTTAATGTGAAACGAGCTGAAGTCAGGTAGGATCACAATAAGGCCACATAGGTAGCTATATGATTTTGTTGGTGATGATGATTAAACAACAAATGTAGCTACATATCGTTGCTGTTGGGCGGAAACCTCATATTTTGTTAATAATTAAACACAGTGTCATCTGATTTGGTATTGTGGTTGTATATATGGTCAGACAGGTGCATGTGTCTTTATAATACTAAGATTTGATGAAAATCAAGCTCAAATGGAGGTTTTAGACCAGCGGATGACAGAGATGTGTGTTTTGTCCATCACTGGAACAGTCTGTGAACTGCATTACGTGTTCATCAACTTACAGGTTGTACAGTTTATATGGGCGCTCAGTTTTTCTTGCCGTTGAATGCATTTGGACAAAATCTCAGGATATAAAAGATGAAGTGCTATGCTTAGTATATTTAAAACAGTATATTGGCTACAACTAGACTCTTCTTCGATCTTCTCTCTTCAAAAAACAAACAAAAAAAAAACACTCATTTAAAGACATAGTGTTTCTTGAGTAAAGAAAATGCTGTACTTGTTCAAACATCAGTTCTTTATCTACTGTATTTTACAACTGCTTTAACAGTGTCTGTGATGTGAAATGTGGTGCATTACTTTATTCAAACATAACCCCTACTGTGTGTTGTGGGAAATGGTGTAATTTTAGGAGCTTGTTTTCTTCTTCCATTCCTTCTCTTGTTTGCATTAAGGGCTCTCGAGGGCTGAGGGGTCTGCAGGGGCCCGGGGGAGCAGTGGGACACAGAGTAAGACCTCAACAACATCACACGACACGTGTCCTCATATTCATTACAATACATGCAGTCACACATATGCAGAGGGATCTCCAAACTTCTCTTGCATCTGCTTCTGTTTGTAGGGATTGCCTGGTTTCAGAGGAAAGCCTGGAATTGCTGGCGTCATTGGGAAAACCGTGAGTGTTTCAGCCCTGCTTACTCAAAGTCTGCACATTATTCTCATGCATGTGTATGTTAGTGGCACAGTGAATCTCACCAGTAAAAGTGTGTGTGTGTCTTCTGGATAGGGTGATGCTGGTGAAAAGGGACCTCAAGGTTTCAGAGGGCCCAAAGGAGAGATAGTAAGAACACTGTGTCATCGTGTTACTCATTACATGTAGTCACTTCTAGTTCATGTTCTGTAATATTGTCAACGTCATCCTCTCAATAGGGGAAGATCGGCCCCAAGGGAGTCCCTGGAGGTGCAGGACCTAAAGGCGAGCCTGTAAGGACATGTCTTATTTGCTGTTATGATGAGCGTTAGATTTCCCCGTAATAATGCTCTCTGTGGATCTTAGGGCATCCCTGGCAGAGATGGGAAGGATGGGACTCAAGGACTAGACGGTGAAAAGGTAAATGTTTTCTGCTCAGACTCATCTAGGCTTTCTTTCGCTGTGTGAAACGCAGTGATGCTCATGGTGTGTTTGTGTGTGTCCATAGGGGGATGCTGGTAGACCTGGAGTATCTGGCGAAAAAGGACCTAATGGTCTGCCTGTACGTATTATCATCCATTACACTGTTGAAAAGCTAAGCACACAGATTGAATATTAATATGACAAAAGAAATATGAATAAGAGATGGTGTAGTTGATGTGATTCTTTTGTCATTCATGATTTGATAAGACCTATTGAGTAGCTACCTCAGATGTTAGTAGCATTGTTCACTGTTTTTGTATCATTGTACAACTCACAACATGTGTGTGTGTATAATCCAGGGTTTGCCAGGAAAAGCAGGTGCAAAAGGTGCCAAAGGAGGAGTGGTGAGCATATCAGTCTATTCCCAACTTATCTGATAGCAAGGCTATTAATAGCTGTATGAAAGTAAAATGTAATCAGTTTATGATTGTTTAGAGTAAATGTTGTATATCTACATACCTGACCCTCAGAGATCTGTGTGAACTGAACCTGGTCTCTTAGATAAGAGAGATGCGCAGTGCTGCTCTTGAACAGTTGATTTTAAACCACTGCTTTAAATCATATTTTTACATGCAAATTGTAGAGTCCTTCTCATCATAGTTCCAGCACAGAAACAATATATTTTTTTATAGACAGAAATATGTAAAGATTCTTGTTTTATCAGCCAAAGAGGAACATTTCGTTTTTGAGAGACAACATAAGGCATCCTCAGCCATTTATGATGTTGTTTCTAAACATCTATTCAATGTAAAATAATGATAAACCTTATTTAAAAAACACACAATAATGACTTATTCATGAAAATGTTTTTAATTAATGAATAGAATAAATTAAATAATAAAAGGTTGCTATTTCTCATCACTATTGACACACTGCTGATTTTTTTCATCATTTCAAAATGTTGAAATAGGAGATAGAAAGCTCAGTTTTTCCTTATGAACCTGCACTAGATGGATGTGTTCGGCTCAATTCACTCAATTGCACTTGCATCTTTTGCAGTGTATTGTGGGTGAAGCTTGTTTTTTATTCTTTTATTCCACTGCCCTGCATCTCGCTTTTAAACGCAAAAACATGTTTTGTGTGAACGGCCCCTTATATTGTAGGAGGTCTCAGGTTGCGTATCTCCCGAGAAGGTGAACGGGACACGGCGTCCGCTGTTACACGTCATCAGCTCTTCTGAGAAAAGCTCATACCCTGTGTTTAGTAAAGGAATATCCCTATCAAATTATCCATCCAAAGGGGTGCCTACATCCCTATTTCAAAACCCAGCAATAGTTGGGGAGGGCGGCAAACGAAAAAGAGGGACGCTTGCGGACTCCCCAGCATAACACCCTAAGGGTTTCCAGCCAAGCAACCCATCCACTGGGGAGCGAACAATCCTACTCTCGACCCTAACATACAGGAGAATATCGCTCTGAAAACATACTTTCAGGATATCAGAGCAAGAGAGATGCCAAAGACAGATCACCTCCACCCACAGCACTGAGCAGTGCCACTCTCATCCTCAGACACACACACATCTTAAAGTGTGTTTGCAGGAAACGCGCCGGCATGCATGAGTAATCGAGCACTGCTCAGCGACAGAAAGAGCATTTCAGATTCCTGTTTTTCTTTTAACTTAAACCTTCTCCATTCCTGTGCCAATTCTGTGATGTTTGCTCTCAACTCCTCCCTTAGGAGGGCCATGCATGATAATATAGGGTCTGTGTATTGAGGTCCTCTTCGTTCTCTCAGTCTGACCCTGGATGAAGCTCCACACGAGATTCACTGAACCACAGCATCACTCTGGACCAGAGGAGTCTTGTGAATCAGGTGTAAGCTTTAAGAAACATCTCCTAGAGAAGCAGGAGAACCTCGTCTGAATCCTCTCTCCAAGCCCATAAAGCAGGAGAAGCAGGAAAACCTCGTCTGAATCCTCTCTCCAAGCCTATAAAGCTGGAGAAGCAGGAAAGCCTCGTCTGAATCCTCTCTCCAAGCCTATAAAGCAGGAGAAGCAGGAAAACCTCGTCTGAATCCTCTCTCCAAGCCCATAAAGCAGGAAAAACAGGAAAACCTCGTCTGAATCCTCTCTCCAAGCCCATAAAGCTGGAGAAGCAGGAAAACCTCGTCTGAATCCTCTCTTTAAGCCTATAAAGCTGGAGAAGCAGGAAAGCCTTGTCTGAATCCTCTCTCCAAGCCCATAAAGCAAGAGAAGCAGGAAAACCTTGTCTGAATCCTCTCTCCAAGCCCATAAAGCAGGAGAAGCAGGAAAACCTCGTCTGAATCCTCTCTCCAAGCCCATAAAGCAGGAGAAGCAGAAAAACCTCGTCTGAATCCTCTCTCCAAGCCTATAAAGCAGGAGAAGCAGGAAAACCTCGTCTGAATCCTCTCTCCAAGCCTATAAAGCAGGAGAAGCAGGAAAACCTCGTCTCAATCCTCTCTCCAAGCCCGTAAAGCTTGAGAAGCAGGAAAACCTCGTCTGAATCCTCTCTCCAAGCCTATAAAGCAGGAGAAGCAGTAAAACCTCGTCTGAATCCTCTCTCCAAGCCTATAAAGCTGGAGAAGTAGGAAAACCTCGTCTGAATCCTCTCTCCAAGCCTATAAAGCTGGAGAAGCAGTAAAACCTCGTCTGAATCCTCTCTCCAAGCCTATAAAGCTGGAGAAGTAGGAAAACCTCGTCTGAATCCTCTCTCCAAGCCTATAAAGCTGGAGAAGCAGGAAAACCTCGTCTGAATCCTCTCTCCAAGCCTATAAAGCAGGAGAAGCAGGAAAACCTCGTCTAATCCTCTCTCCAACCCTAAAAAGCAGGAGAAGCAGGAAAACCTCGTCTGAATCCTCTCTCCAAGCCCATAAAGCAGGAGAAGCAGGAAAACCTCGTCTGAATCCTCTCTCCAAGCCTATAAAGCAGGAGAAGCAGGAAAACCTCGTCTAATCCTCTCTCCAACCCTAAAAAGCAGGAGAAGCAGGAAAACCTCGTCTGAATCCTCTCTCCAAGCCCATAAAGCAGGAGAAGCAGGAAAACCTCGTCTGAATCCTCTCTCCAAGCCTATAAAGCAGGAGAAGCAGGAAAACCTCGTCTGAATCCTCTCTCCAAGCCCATAAAGCAGGAGAAGCAGGAAAACCTCGTCTGAATCCTCTCTCCAAGCCTATAAAGCTGGAGAAGCAGGAAAACCTCGTCTGAATCCTCTCTCCAAGCCTATAAAGGAGGAGAAGCAGGAAAACCTCGTCTAATCCTCTCTCCAACCCTAAAAAGCAGGAGAAGCAGGAAAACCTCGTCTGAATCCTCTCTCCAAGCCCATAAAGCAGGAGAAGCAGGAAAACCTCGTCTGAATCCTCTCTCCAAGCCTATAAAGCAGGAGAAGCAGGAAAACCTCGTCTGAATCCTCTCCCCAAGCCTATAAAGCAGGAGAAGCAGGAAAACCTCGTCTGAATCCTCTCCCCAAGCCTATAAAGCAGGAGAAGCAGGAAAACCTCGTCTGAATCCTCTCTCCAAGCCCGTAAAGCTTGAGAAGCAGGAAAACCTCGTCTGAATCCTCTCTCCAAGCCTATAAAGCTGGAGAAGCAGGAAAACCTCGTCTGAATCCTCTCTCCAAGCCCATAAAGCAAGAGAAGCAGGAAAACCTCGTCTGAATCCTCTCTCCAAGCCCATAAAGCAGGAGAAGCAGGAAAACCTCGTCTGAATCCTCTCTCCAAGCCTATAAAGCAGGAGAAGCAGGAAAACCTCGTCTGAATCCTCTCTCCAAGCCTATAAAGCTGGAGAAGCAGGAAAACCTCGTCTGAATCCTCTCTCCAAGCCTATAAAGCTGGAGAAGCAGGAAAACCTCGTCTGAATCCTCTCTCCAAGCCTATAAAGCTGGAAGAGCAGGAAAACCTCGTCTGAATCCTCTCTCCAAACCTATAAAGCTGGAGAAGCAGAAAAACCTCGTCTGAATCCTCTCTCCAAGCCCATAAAGCAAGACAAGCAGGAAAACCTCGTCTGAATCCTCTCTCCAAGCCTATAAAGCAGGAGAAGCAGGAAAACCTCGTCTGAATCCTCTCTCCAAGCCTATAAAGCAGGAGAAGCAGGAAAACCTCGTCTGAATCCTCTCTCCAAGCCCATAAAGCAGGAGAAGCAGGAAAACCTCGTCTGAATCCTCTCTCCAAGCCTATAAAGCAGGAGAAGCAGGAAAACCTCGTCTGAATCCTCTCTCCAAGCCTATAAAGCAGGAGAAGCAGGAAAACCTCGTCTGAATCCTCTCTCCAAGCCCATAAAGCAAGAGAAGCAGGAAAACCTCGTCTGAATCCTCTCTCCAAGCCCATAAAGCAAGAAAAGCAGGAAAACCTCGTCTGAATCCTCTCTCCAAGCCTATAAAGCAGGAGAAGCAGGAAAGCCTCGTCTGAATCCTCTCTCCAAGCCCATAAAGCAAGAGATGCAGGAAAACCTCGTCTGAATCCTCTCTCCAAGCCTTTAAAGCAGGAGAAGCAGGAAAACCTCGTCTGAATCCTCTCTCCAATCCCATAAAGCAAGAGAAGCAGGAAAACCTCGTCTGAATCCTCTCTCCAAGCCCATAAAGCAAGAAAAGCAGGAAAACCTCGTCTGAATCCTCTCTCCAAGCCTATAAAGCAGGAGAAGCAGGAAAGCCTCGTCTGAATCCTCTCTCCAAGCCTATAAAGCAGGAGAAGCAGGAAAGCCTTGTCTGAATCCTCTCTCCAAGCCCATAAAGCAGGAGAAGCAGGAAAACCTCGTCTGAATCCTCTCTCCAAGCCCATAAAGCAGGAGAAGCAGGAAAACCTCGTCTGAATCCTCTCTCCAAGCCCATAAAGCAAGAGAAGCAGGAAAACCTCGTCTGAATCCTCTCTCCAAGCCCATAAAGCAAGAAAAGCAGGAAAACCTCGTCTGAATCCTCTCTCCAAGCCTATAAAGCAGGAGAAGCAGGAAAGCCTCGTCTGAATCCTCTCTCCAAGCCTATAAAGCAGGAGAAGCAGGAAAGCCTTGTCTGAATCCTCTCTCCAAGCCTTTAAAGCAGGAGAAGCAGGAAAACCTCGTCTGAATCCTCTCTCCAAGCCCATAAAGCAGGAGAAGCAGGAAAACCTTGTCTGAATCCTCTCTCCAAGCCCATAAAGCAAGAGAAGCAGGAAAACCTCGTCTGAATCCTCTCTCCAAGCCCATAAAGCAAGAAAAGCAGGAAAACCTCGTCTGAATCCTCTCTCCAAGCCTATAAAGCAGGAGAAGCAGGAAAGCCTCGTCTGAATCCTCTCTCCAAGCCTATAAAGCAGGAGAAGCAGGAAAACCTCGTCTGAATCCTCTCTCCAAGCCCATAAAGCAGGAGAAGCAGGAAAACCTCGTCTGAATCCTCTCTCCAAGCCTATAAAGCTGGAGAAGACGATTGAACTGAATTGTGCAGCTCTGATAAATAAGCTCCAGAAGAGCTGGGCTTCTTCCCAGTGCCCTATTGCACATCCTCCTTTCCTTTCCTTGTTTTGCTCCTTGACAGAAATGAGGGGGGAATTGATGCAACAAGTATCTGGAATTGGAAAATCCCTGATCACTCAAGCATCACTTAGCCTGAAATAGTTATGCGCTTATTTAGTTGAAGTTTGGTTAATTAAAAAATGTATAATGCATATAATAAAGTATGAGGATGTGAGATGTATTATGTAAGCGCAAAGGTTGAGTGTTTCTCAGCTCAAGCCTTGCAACATCACGCTGCTTCAGACTCGTGGGACTCTGCTCCTGGTATCACGTCTGTTTTGCTCTTTGGTCTAGTGTTTCTGTCTAAATGAATCAGACTGGAAGACCAGCTGAGGTAGATTTGAACTTCAAATGGAATATAATTGAATACTCCTTCTCCCTTCAGGGCAGTGCAGGAGAGATGGGAGAAGCAGGACCCTCTGGAGAGCCAGGTATACCTGTATGTATCTGACTCTTGCCCTGATATGAATCGTTTCTGTGGTAATGCATGCTGATATTCAGCTACTGTTGCTGTACTTCTGGATTCTGTATCTATAATTCGGTCATTTAGTAACAAGGTATAAGGCTATTGATAGTGTGCAGTGCTCAGTTGATGGTCACTGAAGATGAGTGCTCCCGCAGGGCGAGATCGGCATCCCTGGAGAGAGAGGAGAAGCTGGACCCCGAGGAGTGGCTGTGAGTAACCCCACCTGACACCCGTCGGCCCCAGGCTTCACTAGGGCTGGGGTCCATGACACTCGCCGGCCCCAGGCTTCACTAGGGCTGGGTCTAACATCCATTACAGTTATAGAATCGAATACTTGAGGTCAGGAATCGGATACTTGTTATAAAATTTTAATCGATTATCGATTCCTTTTCAATATGAGTTTAAACCATTCAAGCGCTGTTTTCTGTGCACATGCAGCTATACTGGATCTGTGCAATAATATCAGCCTAATATTCCTGCAGCGTCTCTATAATAACACTAATCAAACAACACAAGAGAAAATACACTTGCTCTTGACTAAAGAGCTTTTAGTAACTATAATTGTAATGTATATTTTATTTATAAAATGCAGTTATTTTACATTTGATTACAGTTTATTTCCTGAAAATCTTAAAACACTGTTTACTTCAATCGTATCTTTTGTTGAGTTGTGTCTATTTGTTGCGATTGCTAATTTTTTATTAATTTTATTCTTTTTTAGCTACCGATTGTTGACTTGTATTTAATAATGCTTGAAATATATATGAGTTAGTCTAGTTGTATTTCTATGGTACTTTTAAACCACAGGCAAGCGTTCCTTGTGTAAGTGTTCTTGAGCCTGATGATGTTTGTTCATGATATTCAGCTGCAATTACATGTTTTCCAATAAGACTAAATGTGAATGATATCTAAGTATTTTATTGTTTGTTTTTTACCTTATTGGAATCGAAATTAGGAATCGATAAGAATCAAAATCGAAATCAGAATCATTAAAATTCAAGCGATACCCAACCCTAGGTTTGATGTGATGCAGAGCTTTATAGAGGAGAACTGTGTCCGCTTTACCCATCACACATACAGCCGAATAGTCTGGAATTGCAGGGTCTAAGCACAGTATTACACGACTGCTCATGTAGAGGTGCATGTTCTCCACAGTGCTGTGACTGAGAGGTGCATGTTCTCCACAGTGCTGTGTTGCAGAGGCTTATGGCTGCTCACTGTGAAGCTCAAGGCATGTGATAATGCTTTATCTGTCGGTTCACTAGGGTGGCGTTGGACTAGCTGGAAACACTGGACCCCAAGGTGTTAAAGGATTCCAGGTAAGTCGCATATGCTAATATTTCATGGGATAATGTCAGGTGCAACACCAGGGAAACTCTGATAACTGGAGTCATATTACTGTTCTTCACACATATTACTGTTTTTCACACATATTACTGTTCTTCACACATATTACTGTTTTTCACACATATTACTGTTCTTCACACATATTACTGTTCTTCACACATATTACTGTTTTTCACACATATTACTGTTCTTCACACATATTACTGTTCTTCACACATATTACTGTTCTTCACACATATTACTGTTTTTCACACATATTACTGTTCTTCACACATATTACTGTTTTTCACACATATTACTGTTCTTCACACATATTACTGTTTTTCACACATATTACTGTTCTTCACACATATTACTGTTTTTCACACGTATTACTGTTCTTCACACATATTACTGTTTTTCACACATATTACTGTTCTTCACACATATTACTGTTTTTCACACATATTACTTCACACATATTACTGTTCTTCACACATATTACTGTTTTTCACACATATTACTGTTCTTCACACATATTACTGTTTTTCACACATATTACTGTTCTTCACACATATTACTGTTCTTCACACATATTACTGTTCTTCACACATATTACTGTTCTTCACACATATTACTGTTCTTCACACATATTACTGTTTTTCACACATATTACTGTTCTTCACACATATTACTGTTTTCACACATATTACAGTTTTTCACACATATTACTGTTCTTCACATATTACTGTTTTTCACACATATTACTGTTTTTACACATATTACAGTTTTTCACACTTACTACTTTTATTACTTTATTTTTCTGGAAAATAAGTTGCTCATGTGTCACACCAAGTCAAAATTGCATTGTTGAAAGAAATACAACACAGATAAGTTGTATTTTATTATTACATTCAGAAATCATGTAAAATACGGTATATAAAATGAAACGTTTGCAAATGTTTTAAACACTATAAACATGTATTTTATTTCCCTCCCTCCACAACAAATCCTTCAAACTTAACAGTATACAGAACATGATGAAAAATATAAGTATAAAATAAACATAAATTATAGCGTTATTCATTATAAACACCAAGCCCAGACAAATTAAAGGAAAAAAAATTACCAGTGTGTAGAAAATGCATTATAGAAATAAACCTTGACTAACAAGCTGAAACTGGTTAGATCAAACTGAAACCCACGGGATAAACAGGTTGAGGAGAGAACCCCTGATATGATTGTAAAGCGCTTTGGGTGTACAGTAGTACATATGAAAGCGCTATATAAATGCCTCATTCATTTATTCAAACACTTCTGCACATGTCTAATTCACCAACACTGACGGATATTCACCATCAGTTACAGAATTACACAATTCTAAATCTCTGTTAGTTTGACCAGGAAATATACATGATCTTTAGCATTCTTCTGTTTTACCACATCAGAGGATGTGAATACAAGGATTACAAGAGAAACATTAGAGCGCAACACACACCTCTCGCTCGGCACACACACACGCTTCCGTATGCTGAACTATAGTTTATTACCTGAACAAGACTTCACTTGCTTATCAGTGTCCACATAAAAGTGCTTTCTTGACATGACATACAATCATACATCCAAAAATGTGCACAAAATTATAATCACAATGATTGTTGTCGTTTGAGAAGTTTATTTTTACATTTCATCAGAATTATTATAAGAGCACTCCTAGGTATGGTTTATTTCACCACATCTATTGTCCTGATATATTATAGGCTATTCATCATATCATTCAACACTCTCTGACTGCATTATGAAAACTAGTTAAACAAGAAACATCCCTCAAAAATGAAAACAATGAAATTCCTAATAGTATTTCTAATAATATCAAATGACATTCATGGTTTTTTATTAAAACAACAGCAAGATTGTATGATCACAGAGTGCATTTATTCAGCAACCACATTTGCAAAAAATACAGATACTTGTATCTGATACTTGATCCTTGCACAAAACTCAATACTTGTATGTTTTACAGTTTATCTCTGATAAGGTTTGATGGCAGATTTAGAAGGGCACTTTGATTTAAGCAGAACATCTCAGTGGAGATCGCGGAGCTTCGACTGCACGAACACTACCGCAGTCTGTAATATTTTGGTAGAGTTTTTATTTTTTAAACTACAATTTAGTCTCCTCTTTTTTCGTCAACGATATTGCATGTTCATTTAGTCGTTTAATGATGTTGGTGTCATCTGGTCATCGTCACGCCTAGGCATGAAAAAAAGCATTTTTCATCAACGAAATGAACACTCGTGCACAGGACGGGACGGGACAATGAAATGAGACATCTACAGACAGTGGACTGTAAATGTAGTGTAGGACGTGGATGGAGGCTTCTCACATCTGAACCAAGGGGATAATCCATCATCCGGAAACTGAAGCCTCCCTGGGGGCCGCCATTGTAGCAGACCAGCACCTGCTGTTAGCATTCCATTGACTCCCATTCATTTTGGCATCACTTTGACAGCGAATAACTTTACATCTGAGGTGTTTAAAGACTCCATGGGCCCTATTTTAACGATCTGAAACGCAAGTGTCAAAGCGCAAGTAACTTTGTGGGCGGATCCCGGCGCTTTTGCTATTTGCCCGGCGGGATAAATGCCTCTTGCGCCCGACGCAAATCTAAAAGGGGTTGGCCTGAAGTAGCTTCATTATTCATAGGTGTGGTTTGGGCGTAACGTGGAATAAACCAATCAGAGCGTCATCTCACATTCCCTTTAAGAGCAGGCGCGCTTGTTCTAAAGCGGATTCCTATTATAACGGCGGATTTGCCAGGCGCGCGCCAGGAGCGGTTCACAGCCGAGGAGAGCAACGTTCTCGTCAGGGCCGTAAAACACAGAGAAGTGACATTGGGGATGGAGAAACCCACCCAAATTAACTTCTGTTAAACAGGCGTATGATAATTTGGGTTAATGTGTAAGCTACATGTATGCTTTTATAATAAATTGTCTATCTATCTATCTATCTATCTATCTATCTATCTATCTATCTATCTATCTATCTATCGTAATAATGATAGATAGATATGTAAGATGTGTAAGCTACATGTATGCTTTTATAATAAATTGTCTATCTATCTATCTATCTATCTATCTATCTATCTATCTATCTATCTATCTATCTATCTATCTATCTATCTATCTATCTATCTATCTATCTATCTATCTATCTATCTATCGTAATAATGTATGATTTGCAAAAATGAAAACTGCTGCTTAGATGAGAGAATCAAAGTGTATGCGCGTTGTGCCACCGCTACATTATGGCCAAGCATGCGCCCTTAAAATAGCATTATGAACAACGCGCAACGCGCCACTGACTCTAGACTAGTTTTTTTCTGGTCAGTGGCGCAATTGTCTTATAGAACAGCAAAATAGCATGAGGGAAAGTTTGCGCCGGAACACGCCTCCTCTTTGCGCTGAACCGCCCCGGGGAGCGCAAGTGTATTTCTTAGTTAACCGACGTGTGTCTGTGGAGGGAAAAGTCCGCTTTGCGCGGGTGCAAAATAGGAATGATACATGCGTCAGTGTACAAAGTCATTTGCACCGAGTGCAAGATAGAGCCCCATTTGTCCATTATTTATTTCTAAAGAAACACGACAATGTATAAAAGGCTCCATTACCTTATATCTTACGTTATGGCCGAGTCTGTATGCGAGTCGTACGAGTTATACAGACTCAATGGATTGGTTTAACAATGGATTGTTTTAAAGCAGCTTTACAGAGATAAACATATAATTTAAGGTAACAGAGATTGTTTTGGCTTTATAGCGGTTCTTGAATAATGTTATTTCCAGCTAAAGTTAATTTTGAGGTGGAGAATGACATCAGCTCAGGTGGAGGATGACATCAGCTCAGGTGGAGGATGACATCAGCTCAGGTGGAGGATGACATCATCAGCTCAGGTGGAGGATGACATCAGCTCAGGTGGAGGATGACATCATCAGCTCAGGTGGAGGAGGACATCAGCTCAGGTGGAGGATGACATCATCAGCTCAGGTGGAGGATGACATCATCAGCTCAGGTGGAGGATGACATCATCAGCTCAGGTGGAGGAGGACATCAGCTCAGGTGGAGGATGACATCATCAGCTCAGGTGGAGGAGGACATCAGCTCAGGTGGAGGAGGACATCAGCTCAGGTGGAGAATGACATCATCAGCTCAGGTGGAGGAGGACATCAGCTCAGGTGGAGGATGACATCAGCTCAGGTGGAGAATGACATCATCAGCTCAGGTGGAGGAGGACATCAGCTCAGATGGAGGATGACATCATCAGCTCAGGTGGAGGATGACATCATCAGCTCAGGTGGAGGATGACATCATCAGCTCAGGTGGAGGATGACATCATCAGCTCAGGTGGAGGAGGACATCAGCTCAGGTGGAGGATGACATCATCAGCTCAGGTGGAGGAGGACATCAGCTCAGGTGGAGGAGGACATCAGGTCAGGTGGAGAATGACATCATCAGCTCAGGTGGAGGAGGACATCAGCTCAGGTGGAGAATGACATCATCAGCTCAGGTGGAGGAGGACATCAGCTCAGGTGGAGGAGGACATCAGCTCAGGTGGAGAATGACATCATCAGCTCAGGTGGAGGAGGACATCAGCTCAGGTGGAGGATGACATCAGCTCAGGTGGAGAATGACATCATCAGCTCAGGTGGAGGAGGACATCAGCTCAGGTGGAGGATGACATCATCAGCTCAGGTGGAGGATGACATCATCAGCTCAGGTGGAGGATGACATCATCAGCTCAGGTGGAGGAGGACATCATCAGCTCAGGTGGAGGAGGACATCAGCTCAGGTGGAGGAGGACATCAGGTCAGGTGGAGAATGACATCATCAGCTCAGGTGGAGGAGGACATCAGCTCAGGTGGAGAATGACATCATCAGCTCAGGTGGAGGAGGACATCAGCTCAGGTGGAGGAGGACATCAGCTGAGGTGGAGAATGACATCATCAGCTCAGGTGGAGGAGGACATCAGCTCAGGTGGAGGATGACATCAGCTCAGGTGGAGAATGACATCATCAGCTCAGGTGGAGGAGGACATCAGCTCAGGTGGAGGAGGACATCAGCTCAGGTGGAGAATGACATCATCAGCTCAGGTGGAGGAGGACATCAGGTCAGGTGGAGAATGACATCATCAGCTCAGGTGGAGGAGGACATCAGCTCAGGTGGAGGATGACATCATCAGCTCAGGTGGAGGAGGACATCAGCTCAGGTGGAGGAGGACATCAGCTCAGGTGGAGGATGACATCATCAGCTCAGGTGGAGGAGGACATCAGCTCAGGTGGAGAATGACATCATCAGCTCAGGTGGAGAATGACATCATCAGCTCAGGTGGAGGAGGACATCAGGTCAGGTGGAGAATGACATCATCAGCTCAGGTGGAGGAGGACATCAGCTCAGGTGGAGAATGACATCATCAGCTCAGGTGGAGGAGGACATCAGGTCAGGTGGAGAATGACATCATCAGCTCAGGTGGAGGAGGACATCAGCTCAGGTGGAGAATGACATCATCAGCTCAGGTGGAGGAGGACATCAGCTCAGGTGGAGGAGGACATCAGCTCAGGTGGAGGAGGACATCAGCTCAGGTGGAGGAGGACATCAGCTCAGGTGGAGGAGGACATCAGCTCAGGTGGAGGAGGACATCAGCTCAGGTGGAGGAGGACATCAGCTCAGGTGGAGGAGGACATCAGCTCAGGTGGAGGAGGACATCAGCTCAGGTGGACCCAGCCCTAATCACATGACTCCTCTCAGTGCTCAAAATGCCTCTCCTCTCTTCTTCTCCGCCTTAGGAGAACAATGTTTAGCAGAAAGCAAAAGCTTCTGTAAATCGCTCCGTTTTTATTTCCTTTTCAGCCTAAGCTTTTCTGGGTCAGTACTTCTACCTTGGTTTGTTTAGCAGAATCTGTATGTTGTAAATGCAGATGTCGAATATGGAAATGCGTCCTTAAAGCAACAACAACATCAACAAATATAGCCACCATTACAGGACCGAGCAAACCAATGTCAAACATCTGCCTGAATATATAAATAGCACTCATAAGTCTAATTAACATGCAACGTGAAAATAAAATCGCTTACATTTGGACCATTAGCACCAAATACGTTTTACAGCAGAACAGCTGTAGGAGGTTTATTTTGGTTTATTATCAAGGATATTTTCAATGAAATGCAAAATGGCCAATGACAAGTATGGGATCATTGAACTGGCACTGCAACCCAAGGTGTCACAATAGAGCAAAAGATAAGAGTCTGTCAAATGCCCGAACTCTTCATGGCATGGCACTTCAAATTCACTATAACCAACATACATGACCCATACATGACCCATAAATGACCCAGAAATGTCCCATGCATGACACATACATGACCCATAAATGTCCAATGCATGACCCATACATGACCCAGAAATTACCCATACATGACCCATAAATGTCCCATGCATGACCCATACATGTCCCATAAATGACCCATAAATGACCCATGCATGACCCATACATGACCCATAAATGTCCCGTGCATGACCCATGCATGACCCATTCATGACCCATAAATGTCCCATACATGACCCATAAATGTCCCATAAATGACCCATACATGACCCATAAATGACCCATACATGACCCATAAATGTCCCATAAATGACCCATACATGACCCAGAAATGTCCCATGCATGACCCATACATGACCCATAAATGTCCCATGCATGACCCATACATGACCCATAAATGTCCCATGCATGACCCAGAAATGTCCCATGCATGACCCATAAATGACCCAGAAATGTCCCATAAATGACCCAGAAATGTCCCATGCATGACACATACATGACCCATAAATGACCCATACATGACCCATAAATGTCCCATAAATGACCCATACATGACCCATAAATGTCCCATGCATGACCCATAAATGACCCAGAAATGTCCCATAAATGACCCATACATGACCCAGAAATGTCCCATGCATGACCCATAAATGACCCATACATGACCCATACATGACCCAGAAATGTCCCATGCATGACCCATACATGACCCATAAATGTCCCATGCATGACCCATACATGACCCAGAAATGTCCCATGCATGACCCATACATGACCCAGAAATGTCCCATGCATGACCCATACATGACCCAGAAATGTCCCATGCATGACCCATACATAACCCATGCATGACCCATACATGACCCAGAAATGACCCATACATGACCCAGAAATGTCCCATGCATGACCCATACATGACCCATGCATGACCCATACATGACCCATACATGACTAGGGCTGCACGATTTGGGCCAAAATGATAATCACGATTATTTTGATCAATATTGAGATCACGATTAATTATCACGATTATTTGTTGATTTTAACCAAAACAAATGTTATTGTCACATAGGCTAATTATAACTGCTTTCACATTATGCTACATTCCTGCTAATGTACAACTATGTGCATCAAAATAAAACAGGTCCTCTTATTCACCAAAATTCAGTGCATCTCTTTAAAGAATAAATAAAAACAAATAAAACAATAAAGAAAATGTAGCAAAACTTCAACAGGGCACTATTTTAGATTGTGTAAATATAAAATAAAAATATAAACTTGCATTGTACCTGCATAATGGATGTGAATAAAACGCACAAAATATACAATCAATAAAAAACAAATATTCCATAACAGAATGTAACCAAATGAGAACATTTCAAGGCAGAACTGCACTATGGAAGTTCGATTAATGGATGAAATTCAGAGTCATTGTTATTTGACGCTTAAGAAATGTAAAATGTTGTGGTACAGTGTCAGTGATTAGTCTTACTGCATAAATTGAATCTTATTTAATCCTCCAAAGTGTATGTGCTTGAATTATTTCTACTTATTAAACAATAGTTCAAAACAAGAGTTTGTAGTACTGATTATTGGAGTCCATTAATCGAACTTTCATGCCTCTTATATAGTAATTATATATTAATATGTAGTATGTATGTACCAATTTACTAATGCTCACACTCGGTCTCTCACGCGCACCGTCACTCGGTCTCTCTCGCCCGCTGTCGCTCGTACGCAGACACACTCGGTATCTCTCGCGCACTTTCGAGCGCGCTCTTGGACACTCGGTCTCTCGTGCACTGTCGCTCGCGCGCAGACGGTCTCTCTCGCGCACTCGGGCTCATGGAGGCACGTGATCAGACAGTGGTTTACGGAGCGCTAGATTGGCTTTACAAAAAAAAAAAAAAAACCTTTGATACGGAGTGTTCTGTGAATGTAATGACGCATTTTAAATATCGCTCGGTCACGCGAATTTGATCATGGGAAGCCAAAATCGCGATCGTGATTAAAATTCGATTAATCGTGCAGCCCTATACATGACCCATGCATGACCCATACATGACCCAGAAATGTCCCATGCATGACCCATACATGACCCAGAAATGTCCCATGCATGACCCATACATGACCCAGAAATGTCCCATGCATGACCCATACATGACCCATGCATGACCCATACATGACCCATACATGACCCATACATGACCCAGAAATGTCCCATGCATGACCCAGAAATGTCCCATGCATGACCCATACATGACCCATGCATGACCCATAAATGACCCATACATGACCCAGAAATGTCCCATGCATGACCCATACATGACCCATGCATGACCCATGCATGACCCATACATGACCCATGCATGACCCAGAAATGTCCCATGCATGACCCATAAATGTCCCATAAATGACCCAGAAATGTCCCATGCATGACCCATACATGACCCATGCATGACCCATACATGACCCAGAAATGACCCATAAATGTCCCATACATGACCCATACATGACCCAAGGAATAAAAAGGAACCAGTCCTATGATTTTAGTTCATCCAAAATGAATTGGCAAGCATGGTGTTGTCGAAAGCTGTTTGAACGGCATAACTAAGAGAATTGTTTTTTAAAAGCGCTGCTTCCATCATGTATGGCACATGCTGATTATTTTCCTTTTTTTATAAATGATGCAAAGGTGTGACACGTGCCTTAGATTCTCAGTGTTCTGAGGGATTATGATAGGGTTTGGTGATGGTAAAGGTGAATGATTATTTAGCACATATCTTGAGCGTTGCTCACCTCACCCATGAGAACAGCACGGACCGACACACACCCCACACACACCCGACACACACCCATGAGAACAACACTGACCCACACACACCCCACACACACCCAAGGTCAAATCTCTGTCTCCTCATCCACTTTAGGAATTTTAATGACAGTTATTACAATTCATAGATGTTATTAAAATGCCGCTCTTGGTCTCCCCCTGCAGGGCGTTAAAGGAGCGCTGGGCGACCCAGGGCTGCCGGGGCCCACTGGCATCAGAGGCGGGTTTGGCGAGAGGGTGAGTTCAATGAATCTGTGTAACCTGAACACATCTAGGCTGTTAAACTATAGGAAAATGTCTCTGCCAAGCCAACATCAAATGCATTTTCTAGTTGTTTCTAGTTTTCTTGTTCTCTACAGCAGCGGCTGTGGAACGGTTGAGCGTGGCCCTAAGGGCCCTAAGGCTTCAGCCTCCCTCTGTTCCCTCTCCCTGTCACACCTTTCCCCGTTAGGGACAATATTTGCCCCCTTAAACCGATTTTGCCAGTGCATTTTTTGCCTTTATAAAATAAATAATGCTTTAATCTTTTCAATAGAGAAATATGCAATGATGTTAAAAAACGAAGTGATGCTTTTAAATATTAATTTAACTGCCAGTAGGTTGCAGTATTGGTCACTGGCCCTATCACACACCCGGAGCAATGCAGCGCCCGGCGCGACGCAAGTGTGTTTCGCTAGTTTCAGCCCGACGCAGTTTTCATTTTCACATCCTCACGTTGTTTAAATAGCAAATGCATTTGCGCCCATCTGTGTCCCATGGGCTGCTGGTCTGAGTGTGTGTTCGGGAGCATTGCTGGAGCGCTGCTGTTCTGAGGAACTGAAATGATGCCGGGATTGATGCCGGGTTGGGGACCTAGTAACATTGCCGTGTTCAGACCCGGAACGCGCGCTGTGTGAACAAAAGCCAGAACCAATGCCGTATAAGGGCCCGTTCACATATCGCGTCTTTTGCGCGCTCAAGTTCATTATTTCAAATGGAGGCGCGCGGTTTGCGCGCTCATAATGGAAGCGACGCGGTCGCGGTGCGACGCGCTCGTTTTTTCCAGGCGCGTCCGCGCCGCATCGAGATAAAAACATCTCAACTTTTCAGAATGCCGCAAGCGCACCATAAGCGCACAGTAGGTCACGTGACAAGAACCAACCGGAGCGCAACCGCCCTAGCGTTTTGAAAAAAAAGAATGCGGCGCGCCCAGCGTTTTCTACGCGTTTTTAGGCGCGATATGTGAACGCAGCCTAAGGGGTGTGTCGTAGTGAGGATTCACGAGCCTTTGCAATGACGTAGTTATCGTGCGGCTCAGTTACTCTAGAAGAAAGTTTGTGTTCGTCATCGATACAAGAAAGAACGAAAAAATGTCTGCAAACTGGACTGAAGCAGAGAGCCGTCACATCCAACATCACGCGTCTCTCCGGAACATACACGGGTTGTGTGTGAACGCGCTCTCTGATTCCGGCAAACCACTGGCAGTGTGAATGAAGCAGAATCAAACGAACCCGGGTCACTTTATCCGTGTATTTTCCGGAATCTCTGTGTGAAAGGGGCTCTAGACTCGCGATCGGTTCACAAACACTGCTGTGTTTCAGTTCTGCTGTGGCTTTCGTTGGAGCTATTATCTCATATCTCGTTGCACAATAGAGCAAAAATAGTGACAATACTGTGTTAAAAATGATCAGCACTCAATATTACCCTTTCATTTGTTGAACTGTTGTATAAAATCAATGTCACATTTGCAATCGTATGGATATTCAGGAAACATTGCATTCTTGCTCGTATAAGATCACCTGTGAAAGATCAGGTCATGTGATTGATGTCAGGTATTTGCAGCATTTCACCTGCTAGAAACACATGCTCAGTTCTAATGTTATTTTAAGGTGGAGTAGAATTAACTGAACGGCATTGTGTAGCCTTTGTCCCTCACGTAGTCCAGTTTGGGAAGCACTGCTCTAAACACACACACACACACACAGATTGTTTAGTCGTGCTGTAATCACAGACACTGGTGATGTGACCACAAAGCGTCCTGCTGTCCAGAGCTCTGCACACAGAGAAACGCCTGTTTCCTCAACACACACCTGCACACACACACGTTCACTCGAGTCTCTCTCTCTCTCTCTCTCTCAGGGTCCCGGTGGAGCTGGAGGGCCTAAAGGAGATATGGTAAGAGTGCAGACTGTATGAAGGAAAGCCCTATATGAGGAGAAGCTGTGAACCGATGCACGTGTTTCTCTGCTGGTGTGTTTTAGGGAGTTGCTGGGAGTGATGGTTTGCCAGGGGAGAACGGAGAGCCGGTACGTAACTCTTTCACATGAATGTCTCAATAATCTTCTGTTGATTTCCACTCAAACACATCATCTCTCCTCTTATTCCAGGGTCCATACGGCCCCGTCGGCCAGAAAGGAGAGGTGAGCGCTCGTTTATCAATAGGAAAATCTTTACATATTTGCCTGTTTATTTTTTACTTTAAATCCAGAATATAATGATTTCCAATCTTTTTTATTTCATTTTCATTTATATATTTAGCTGTATTTTCATTGACAACACATTTATTAACATGTTTCCCTGTCACCACATTCCTCAGCTATGGTAAAGGCTGCTGTGAAGAAAAGAAAAGAGAGAGACAGACAATGCATTGTGGTTAAATGCGGTAGATTGTCCAGGTATTCAGTTAGGGGTGTAACTATACATCGTTATATCGAGATATCGCAATATCTAATGCGACGATATGTATCGACATGTAAACGACATGTTCGCGATATAACAGAGTTAGTTGTATACCAAACTCAGTCTAGACAGCATCTAGGACCCAATGCAAACGTATTATGCTGCTACCAGAGGACAATCATCCCCGTGTCCCCCGTGTTACAGGCTGGCAAGCGAGGTGAACTGGGAGCCAAAGGAGTTGTGGGACCCCAGGGAGAGACTGGAGCCAGAGGGGCTCCTGGGAAACCGGGACCAATGGGATTCCAGGGAGAACAGGGCTTCCCAGGCGTCTCCGGCAAGACTGGTGTTCCTGTACGTAACTGCCTCACTGCATGTGCTGGGACTGGGCTACAGACCTGGTGTGTCGGCCTTTCGATGCTGGCCGTGGATTCCGGGAACTATGATTAATTATTTTGCACGCACTCCGCTCCAAACGCAGTCTTCATTTCATCAGCTTTATTTTCCTAACATTTCTAAATCAAGTTCATAATTTCAATAAACGAAAAATCCAAACAAAGTTAGCGAAGTGGTCAAAAAACTGTGAGTAACCACATTCCCCAAATCCAAACATTTGTTCTTTCCATAGTCACTTCCTACTCCGCCCACACGCGGTGACATATATCCCTAACCCGCACAGGTGCATGATAATTAACTAAATAAGTACACATATATAAATACGCACATACTAAATAAAAAAAATAAAATAATAATAATAATAAACAAATACATAAATTATAATAAATAAACTCCAATACAATACTTATAGAAAAACGGCTACAACACCTGGAATGTGTGTTGTGATGACTGTTGTGGTTGTGTTGCAGGGCAAACTGACCAGTGAGCAGCACATCAGGGAACTGTGTGGCTCCATGATCGATGGTACAACCCTTACACTTCCCAGACTGCATCTATGAAAGGCTTCACGATGCAGCCGGTCTTAAATCTGCTCCTGTTCCCTCAGACCAGATCGCTCAGCTCGCTGCGAACCTGAGGAGGCCCCTGGCCCCTGGAGCCGTGGGACGGCCTGGACCCGCCGGGCCCGCGGGACAGCAGGGAGAGGCGGGGTCCATCGGGCACCCCGGACCCCTCGGCCCGCCGGGCTATAGGGGACTGCCAGGAGACCTGGGGGATCCCGGCCCTCGAGGTGAGAGCCTGAGCGCGGTCACGGCCCGAGAACACGTCAGCCGCCGCCCTCCTGAGTCTCCTTTACTCCTTTATGTTTACAAAAAATACAGATAAACATAGCTAGGCTATTGTAGTTACCCTCAATCCACAACAAATCTTTTACATTTAAAGGTATCAGAACAGAACAAGAATGAAAAACATGTTATATAAAGGTCAAGCCAGGAGATGAGGCTCGGCTGAGCAGAAGCAGGATTGGCTCAGACTGCTCTCATTGGGCACACATGTGTTTCCATACACATTTATTTTAAACTAACCCACATTCAAGAGTTAATAAAAAAGACAGCATGAAGCTAGAATAAAATGTTTGTTTTTTGTTATAAAGCAGATACTCTGTTCTTTCTTTTGATATATTGCATGTTCAGATACTCCAACATGACATCATGACTTTTGCGTAAACACACACGCCACGCTCAAGTCAAGTGATCTATACGCATTTTGAGCTATCCGCGTGAACTGTCATCTTTTGCGTGTATGTCTACGCCGTTAATTGTCCGAGCGAAACGAAGCAAAATGTAGATCTACATCTGGGGAGCGATATCTTTTTTCCTAGGATGGTAGGGGAAGACTCATAAATGGTATTAACCCCAGTGACGGGTAGGTTTAGGGACGGGGTTGGGGTAGGTCATATATTTATATATACAGTAATGTAACGTTAAGTCGAGGCGTTGATAAACACGCTGAAAAGCGATTATGCGTGTTGATAGCACGCCAAAAATGGAAATACGAATTGGCGTGTCATACATACGCCATTTCATGAGATCAGTCTGGATACTCATACAGCACACTATTCTGGGTGCCGTGACACTGCTGTGAAATGATCAAAATGCCGGCGGTGACTGGCAACTGTTTTTAAAAGCACTGGCCGGACAGTTAACATTAATATTATTAAATGCTTTAGAATTACTTCTCAGTGTTAGTTGATGTTAACTAATGCTAATAATTTGCATCTTATTGTAAAGTGTTCGCAGTATTGCCTCAGGACAGGTCTCCTCCTACAGAACCTATTTCAAGCAGAGTATACTTATACAGTAATACATTGTTTTTTTATGTCTGAACCCAGGAACAGTGTGATATCTGAACATGAGTTCATATACTATAACTATTTATATGCATTCCCGAATGAATTTCTGTGCATCTGCCTTGTGCAGGGGATGTTGGAGAGCCGGGCGATAAGGGGCCCGTGGGGAAAGCCATCGAAGGGCCCGTCGGAGACCAGGGGGAACCGGGTGAGTACACGAGTGTGACTGCAGCCGCAAACCTGCTCTTCTCTCAGTGGAGCAGGGCTTAAACACACTCACATACACACATACACACACACACACAGAGTCAGATAATCAGACTTCTCAGTGGACCAGGGCTTAAACACACACACACACAGAGTCAGATAATCAGACTTGTGTCGCTCGGCTGTGTAAATGTAGCACAACCCGGGATCATTCCCATTGATGTATTACCGAGTGGCTCGTGATTCATTGTATGACTGATTTCTCATAGAATTATCTCTGTTTAGCTTTGTGTTGAACATTAATGTCTTTAACCCTTTAGTCGCCAGAGGTTTTTTCCTAAAACGTTTGATTTTGACATCTTAATTTCAAAAGGCTATATCTTAAAAGTGATAAAAGAGAGACTTTCTGTAAATTAGAGAAATATTAAGGATGACCCAAAGTTTATGTAGGGATTACATTTTTACATTTAATTTTCATGAAAAGTCACATGTTTAAATGATAAAATGCAGCACTTCTTTCCCCCCAAAATGTCCATCACCTTCTGTATGCTATATTGCACAATACTGAATGCTCAGGTATATAGTAAGTAGTAAACAAACTGTGTAAATCATTACTAATAAATGGTAGAAACAAACCGAATGCATGTAGCGGTTGGCCTTTTGCTGTAGAGATTTTCCATTTACTAAATACAGTAGGCACTCTGATTCCATGTATGGGGCACATATATTTTATTCAGATGACATACAAACACAAGTAGACAAGACCTATTTAGTTCAAACGCTCACTCGCACAGATCATGAGTGACATGATATGAGCAGCGTGGCCAGATCTGCCTCGTGTGTGCACAGCTCGGACTACTGTCATTGTCATTGTGACTCCTCACCCTGCCTCCACGTTGCCTCCTAACTGTCCTATGAATACTTCGACCTCGTCTAACATACCCACTGGCATTAGACAAAGTCTCCACCACAATACTGTCGCCGCGATTGCAGAGAGGCTCTGATAACATGGCTTACTCGCACACTAGCTCCGCTTTTGATCGCACTGATTCAATGCGCTCTAACTCGAACATTTTGTATAGAAACATGACGTTTTTTTGATTCGGGGATGAAGTATGACATGTCTGCCATCCAGTGGAGGGGAGGTCGAACGAAATTTGACACCCAATTTGACAAAATCGGCCGTTTTATTCAGTGCTGCATCTTGTCGAGTAAACTCGACCGTGGCGCCTAGAGGGTTAAGTTCAGCTAATATAGACCACTTTAGTCATTCTACTAACTCTAGGTAGCTTTGCAACTACACGTGAACTAAGTCTCATTAGAGTATTAGTAGATTGTCTTATTATGAGGCTCATGGTCTGGTATCTCTGACCGCTGCTCCTCTGTGTTCATCAGGTCTGCCAGGAGTGCGAGGCATCGTGAAAGACGGCCGAGACGGAGCGGACGGAGACCCCGGAGAGCCAGGAGAAGCCGGGAGAGCCGGCCGACCGGGACACCAGGGCTCGCCTGGGATCTGCGACACTACAGCGTGCCAGGGAGCTGCGCCTCACGGGAAGACCTCCAACCCCAAGAGCCATTAGCACCCGGAGGAGGAAGAGGAAGAGGACTGAAGCAGAGCCAGCGTTTCACAGCTGAGCTCCAGAGAGGACAAGAGTCCATCAGTGTAACTCAAGATCATCCACAGGCTTGAAGAACCAACATGTGTAGATACAACAGAAGAACAAATACATCACACCGTCTCAATAGCTGATGTACAAAAAAAAACAAGTCCAATCCTTGTAGCGCCGCGGTTAAAGAGTCTCTGTCCAGCACCCATGAGAAGAGTGATGCTGAAGGGGGTGGGGGTTTATCTGACCCGAGGCAGCAGTGACAGCTGGAGGCTTGATCCAGGCTTCAGGAGTGAACACGGATATATTGGATGTATTACTGCAAACTGATTTTCTTTGGCATTTTATTCTTGCATTTAGTTCTTAAACGTTTTACAAGTCCTAAATCTGATGAACGAGACGCTTCAGACACACTGTAAAATACGCCCTCGGCCGTCTGTGGGCTTCATCAGCCATGTCCACTAGATACTGGTGCTGTAACTATTAAATATGATTTTAAATACTATTTATTATTTCTGAGTTACTGATGTGTGTGTACAGCGGGTTTCTACAGCATGATATTGTAAGAAAAACTGAATAAAGCCACTTTTCAGTAAATCATTTCATAGAGCTCATGTCTCTGAACCGTTCAATAATACACAGACAATAAGTGCATTAAATATATAACAATATTTTAATTAAAAGACTAAAAAATGCATTAAAATAACAATGGCCATGCCTTTCAAACAAACAAGGCATAGAAATACAAAGCATTAATAAACACACACCAGATGTTCGCAGGTCAGTGTCTCACACCTCCTGCACAGGCACTGAATGTCCTCAGTTTGCAGACCCAAAACATGACAGGGCTAGATTCAGCAGTGTGTCCTCGCTCTCCTCTCGGCCTATCAGAACAGACGCTCACGGGCTGGACACGAACTGGCATCATACAGTAAAGCCACCAGAAACACGTGAATCCGATGGCAATGACCTGCGCTCCACACTGAGAGCTGAGACAGAGGTCAGGTGTGTGTGAACAGGCAGAGGTCAGGTGTGTGTGAACGGGTTCTCCAGGTGGTGTGTCGCTGACACACTGGGCTTCAACCGCAGGCCCGTCTTGCCACAGAAGGTTCTCTGGAAATCCTGAAACACAGCGCATTTCTGCATTTCAATACAGCAGAACAGAAATAAAACAGATCAAATGTATAGAATAGGTGTAAACACCACAGTTGTAAGAATGGTGACTGTTGTAAAAAACAAACACTACTGTTAATCATGATTACAGAAACACCCGTGTCAAGTCAAGATCTGCTCCAGGAGTGCAGCTGTACTGAACCAGCTGAGGTCCCACCATACCGCTCAGTGCTGCGCTCATTCATAACTCACATCTACAACCTCATACATACACAGGTGTAAATGAACCCAGAGCAGAATCTTCTCTGAATACTTCATTAATGAGAAGGACTGGCTATAGTTGCTGCGTCCGAAGACACCTTTAGGTGTTCTTACACAGTTTAATGCTGTTAATGCAATTACAATTACATAAATCATGTTTTGAGATGAATGTTTTAAATATAAAATTCTGAATATAGAAATGCCTACTTTAAAACATTAAATTAAAACTGCCAGTAGGTGGCAGCAAATCATTTATTCAAAGTGAACTCATTCAGGAATGAAGCATGTGACCGTTTATATGAACGACTCATTCAGCTGAGCGCTATTACTAACTAATGTGTTAATCACAGTTACTGGAGTGTTAATAGTGCGTTACTCATGTGTTCCTGCGTAGTTGTTGATTAATGAAGGAAAAGTGTTATAAAGTGTTGCCTACATTTCTACTACATGCGTCACACATGCCTTTCCCATGATGACCCACTGGCACGCTCAGGCAAACACAGAGCGGTGGTGTGTGTGTGAGGCATGTGAGGTGTGTGTGTGTGAGGGCACCTGTTTGAGGCAGTCTCCGTGGATTTCTTGTATGTATTTGAGGAAGGCTGTGGTCCACTGCAGTGTGGTGTGTGTGTGTGTGTGTGTGTGTGTGAGGTGTGTGTGTGAGGGCACCTGTTTGAGGCAGTCTCCGTGGATCTCCTGTATGTATTTGAGGAAGGCTGTGGTCCACTGCAGAGTAGGGCTGTCACTTTACGTTCGAAAATCGATTGCACAATCGATCGGACCAACCAACACAAGTTTCGAAAACGAAAATAGGGCAATACACTGTATTTAATCTATCATGAGGATCACGAGTTGCGTATTTGCGCTAAATCCGCGCAGATTTGGCTTACACGAACTTCCCCAGCAAAGTGAGTGAACATAGAAACACGCCAGACTGGCTCGTGATTTGACAGCGTTTCCCGCCAAAGTTCATATTTACCCGCATTTGGCGGGTCGAGGGAGTTAATCTCAATCCCTGAATGTGGCGCTCCTGTTTGTCATTGTGCACGAAACTTCACACCAACAAATCATCAGAAATATTGCTGACTTGTGCGTCTCAAGCGCCCTCTTTACGCTCGTCCTAATGCCTGTTAGGTGTCCGTGGATTTGCCTATATTTGGTGTTGAAAATGGAAACGTCTTTAGACATGGAAAATCGATTTTACAATCGATTCAATGAACACTTGTGTCTCAAAAATCGAACAAGATTTTTTCACAAAAGTGACGGCTCTACTGCAGTGTGGTGGCGTGTGTGTGAGGTGCGTGTGTGAGGGCACCTGTTTGAGGCAGTCTCCGTGGATCTCCTGTATGTATTTGAGGAAGGCTGTAGTCCACTGCAGAGTGGTGGCCTTATCAGTGTCAGCGTAACAGAAGGGCACCAGCAGGTTCAGCTCGTCACAGCACAGACGGATCCTCCTCCTGAGGACACACACACACATGCTACATCTCTGACCCTAACACTGAATGCATGGGTTCACGTATCAGTGCTGCACACCACCTGCGATCGCGCTCCTTTCTATTGTGCACTTCTTTGCGCTGCGTTCGGTCCGTGAGCGGTCTGGTGCGGTCTCGTCGAGCACAGGACACACTGGCACATGTCCTCCAGTTCTCTGAGCCCTGCATGACATCAGAGGGCCTGAGCGCCCGAGCCCGAACACGCTTGATGACACGACCTTTATTCACCTCATCTTAGGGGAACAGACAGAACACACACACACACACACACATAAACACATCTCTAGGCTTTCACAACAGTCTAAACTCATTATTTACTCACTGTTATGACTTTCCTCCTTTCATGGAACATAAAATGAGTTTTAGTTGATTATGTAGATTGCTCTTTTAAAGCCTGTTCTTAAACTGTGATATTAAAGTCCAAGTGAAGTGGCTTAATGAGCTCAGCTTTCCTCGATGTGTGGAATCAAAGTCTTGAGAAATTATGTTTTTAATTTGGTTCATCCAATTGCTCTTAAACAGTAACTAAATAGTAACTTAAATAGTGAGTCATAAGATTTTCATAAATTAATGCAAAGCTGATGACGTTTACTGATCCAATAAATGATGGCATTTACCTTTACTGATCCAACAGGAAGCCTTCGAACTTTAACAGAACTAAAGATGAAAAGCCAAGTATTTTGGTTCAGTCTTGTACAACCGTTGCTAGTACTAGAGTGTTATAACAGGGCTTCGCCTCCACATGAGCCAGACAGGCATGGTGTTGTGCAGCGAGGGAATGCAAACATGAGTTCCCAATGTTTGTGAAAAGAGCTATACAAATAAAATTGCTGTCCCCTACCTAACAAACATAACCCGTGTTAAAACTGACCGTGAGGAGAGAGAAATAGTGAAACCCACAGGACACAGTGGACATATAGTCAACACACTTCTGGTGAAACAGCTGGGTTATGTGATGTAAGAATGTAAAAATGACAACCTATGCAGCGACATTTTAAAGATATAGAAATAAAACCCTAAATGACCTGCATAAGTGTGCACACCCTGTTATAATCGGTTTTCAGATGAACCAATCGTGAAGCTCGTGTGAAATAGCTCTCGCCTGTCTTCAGCTGAAGCAACTCTGATGAACTGCACATGAATCTCAGCTGTTCTGATAGACTTGGCTTCATGCCACTACAAGAGCCATGGGCCACAGAGCTCACGAAGCTGCAACCGGATCTCACTCTAGAGGCATCGCTCAGATGAGGGCTACACAACATCAGGCGTTGGCACACAGTGATGAAGAAGAGTTGATCAAGAGCAGGGAAGTGATGAGGAAGAGTTGATCAAGAGCAGGGAAGTGATGAGGAAGAGTTGATCAAGAGTAGGGCAGTGATGAGGAAGAGTTGATCAAGAGCAGGGCAGTGATGAGGAAGAGTTGATCAAGAGCAGGGAAGTGATGAGGAAGAGTTGATCAAGAGTAGGGCAGTGATGAGGAAGAGTTGATCAAGAGCAGGGCATTGATGTGGAAGAGTTGATCAAGAGCAGGGCAGGGCAGTGATGAGGAAGAGTTGATCAAGAGCAGGGCAGTGATGAAGAAGAGTTGATCAAGAGCAGGGCAGTGATGAAGAAGAGTTGATCAAGAGCAGGGCAGTGATGAGGAAGAGTTGATCAAGTGCAGGGCAGTGATGAGGAAGAGTTGATCAAGAGCAGGGCAGTGATGAAGAAGAGTTGATCAAGAGCAGGGAAGTGATGTGGAAGAGTTGATCAAGAGCAGGGCAGTGATGAAGAAGAGTTGATCAAGAGCAGGGCAGTGATGAGGAAGAGTTGATCAAGAGCAGGGCAGTGATGTGGAAGAGTTGATCAAGAGCAGGGCAGTGATGTGGAAGAGTTGATCAAGAGCAGGGCAGTGATGTGGAAGAGTTGATCAAGAGCAGGGCAGTGATGTGGAAGAGTTGATCAAGAGTAGGGCAGTGATGAGGAAGAGTTGATCAAGAGCAGGGCAGTGATGAGGAAGAGTTGATCAAGAGCAGGGCAGTGATGAGGAAGAGTTGATCAAGAGCAGGGCAGTGATGAGGAAGAGTTGATCAAGAGCAGGGCAGTGATGAGGAAGAGTTGATCAAGAGCAGGGCAGTGATGAGGAAGAGTTGATCAAGAGCAGGGCAGTGATGTGGAAGAGTTGATCAAGAGCAGGGCAGTGATGAGGAAGAGTTGATCAAGAGCAGGGCAGTGATGAGGAAGAGTTGATCAAGAGCAGGGCAGTGATGAAGAAGAGTTGATCAAGAGCAGGGCAGTGATGTGGAAGAGTTGATCAAGAGCAGGGCAGTGATGAGGAAGAGTTGATCAAGAGCAGGGCAGTGATGAGGAAGAGTTGATCAAGAGCAGGGCAGTGATGAGGAAGAGTTGATCAAGAGCAGGGCAGTGATGAAGAAGAGTTGATCAAGAGCAGGGCAGTGATGAACAAGGGTTGATCAAAAGCAGGGCAGTGATGAAGAAGAGTTGATCAAGAGCAGAGCAGTGATGAAGAAGAGTTGATCAAGAGCAGGGCAGTGATGAGGAAGAGTTGATCAAGAGCAGAGCAGTGATGAAGAAGAGTTGATCAAGAGCAGGGCAGTGATGAGGAAGAGTTGATCAAGAGCAGGGCAGTGATGAAGAAGAGTTGATCAAGAGCAGGGCAGTGATGAGGAAGAGTTGATCAAGAGCAGGGCAGTGATGAGGAAGAGTTGATCAAGAGTAGGGCAGTGATGAGGAAGAGTTGATCAAGAGCAGGGCAGTGATGAGGAAGAGTTGATCAAGAGCAGGGCAGTGATGAGGAAGAGTTGATCAAGAGCAGGGCAGTGATGAAGAAGAGTTGATCAAGAGCAGGGCAGTGATGAACAAGGGTTGATCAAAAGCAGGGCAGTGATGAAGAAGAGTTGATCAAGAGCAGAGCAGTGATGAAGAAGAGTTGATCAAGAGCAGGGCAGTGATGAAGAAGAGTTGATCAAAAGCAGGGCAGTGATGAAGAAGAGTTGATCAAGAGCAGGGCAGTGATGAGGAAGAGTTGATCAAGAGCAGGGCATTGATGTGGAAGAGTTGATCAAGAGCAGGGCAGTGATGAAGAAGAGTTGATCAAGAGCAGGGCAGGGCAGTGATGAGGAAGAGTTGATCAAGAGCAGGGCAGTGATGTGGAAGAGTTGATCAAGAGCAGGGCAGTGATGAGGAAGAGTTGATCAAGAGCAGGGCAGTGATGAAGAAGAGTTGATCAAGAGCAGGGCAGTGATGAAGAAGAGTTGATCAAGAGCAGGGCAGTGATGAGGAAGAGTTGATCAAGAGCAGGGCAGTGATGAAGAAGAGTTGATCAAGAGTAGGGCAGTGATGAGGAAGAGTTGATCAAGAGCAGGGCAGTGATGAAGAAGAGTTGATCAAGAGCAGGGCAGTGATGAGGAAGAGTTGATCAAGAGCAGGGCAGTGATGTGGAAGAGTTGATCAAGAGCAGGGCAGTGATGAGGAAGAGTTGTTCAAGAGCAGGGCAGGGCAGTGATGAGGAAGAGTTGATCAAGAGCAGGGCAGTGATGAGGAAGAGTTGATCAAGAGCAGGGCAGTGATGAGGAAGAGTTGTTCAAGAGCAGGGCAGGGCAGTGATGAGGAAGAGTTGATAAAGAGCAGGGCAGTGATGAAGAAGAGTTGATCAAGAGTAGGGCAGTGATGAGGAAGAGTTGATCAAGAGCAGGGCAGTGATGAGGAAGAGTTGATCAAGAGCAGGGCAGTGATGAGGAAGAGTTGATCAAGAGCAGGGCAGTGATGAGGAAGAGTTGATCAAGAGCAGGGCAGTGATGAGGAAGAGTTGTTCAAGAGCAGGGCAGGGCAGTGATGAGGAAGAGTTGATAAAGAGCAGGGCAGTGATGAAGAAGAGTTGATCAAGAGTAGGGCAGTGATGTGGAAGAGTTGATCAAGAGCAGGGCAGTGATGAGGAAGAGTTGATCAAGAGCAGGGCAGTGATGTGGAAGAGTTGATCAAGAGCAGGGCAGTGATGAGGAAGAGTTGTTCAAGAGCAGGGCAGGGCAGTGATGAGGAAGAGTTGATCAAAAGCAGGGCAGTGATGAGGAAGAGTTGTTCAAGAGCAGGGCAGGGCAGTGATGAGGAAGAGTTGTTCAAGAGCAGGGCAGGGCAGTGATGAGGAAGAGTTGATAAAGAGCAGGGCAGTGATGAAGAAGAGTTGATCAAGAGCAGGGCAGTGATGTGGAAGAGTTGATCAAGAGCAGGGCAGTGATGAGGAAGAGTTGATAAAGAGCAGGGCAGTGATGAAGAAGAGTTGATCAAGAGTAGGGCAGTGATGTGGAAGAGTTGATCAAGAGCAGGGCAGTGATGTGGAAAAGTTGATCAAGAGCAGGGCAGTGATGAGGAAGAGTTGATCAAGAGCAGGGCAGTGATGAAGAAGAGTTGATCAAGAGCAGGGCAGTGATGAAGAAGAGTTGATCAAGAGCAGGGCAGTGATGAGGAAGAGTTGATCAAGAGCAGGGCAGTGATGAAGAAGAGTTGATCAAGAGCAGGGCAGTGATGAAGAAGAGTTGATCAAGAGCAGGGCAGTGATGAGGAAGAGTTGATCAAGAGCAGGGCAGTGATGAGGAGACGAAGAGAAGCCCAGGTCCGGGATGTGCCGTAACTATGTAGTGATGGAGTAACTATGACTCTCTTAATGAACACCACTAACCACTCGGTGAGTTGCACAGTTTTGAAAACGAACGTTAAGGGTTGTTTTAGGGACATGTTTGTGCATGCCGGTAGACAGCCACTCTGAAGCGGTCAAAGGCGATTCTTAAAGAGTCAAAAAGTCGAGACAGGACCCATCGTCAAAATTTCTGTGTCCACCACTCTAGTTCATCCAAACCAAACTAAAAAATAGACTCAAAGTGCTAAATACCGGAATTACCCTTTAAGTCGTGTTTGTTCTCATGCCCTGTCGCATGGTTTTTCAGTTAAATACTAAGTCAGGTAAACAGTGTTAGTGAATACCCATTAGGAGAAGCAGTCAAGCAACAGAAGGGGACAGCATCCTGTAGGTGTATTTGGTTTTCTCACTTGATTTTAGCGCAGTTGTATCAGACGGGTGTATAATTGGTGAGTATATCGTGGCAGCCCTCGTGTGAAGCCCTCATCGTGTTTAAGCCAAACAGTGTAAAACCAGCGACTCTACCAGTGCGACTCCACAGAGCAAGGCACTTGACTGTTCTTTTCCCTTCCTTTTTCCTACAGTGTTTTGGTGACCTCTCTTCACTATGTGCTTTCCTAAATCCCTACTATTACTAACACTGGTAACTCACGTCACAAGTTAGAGGCAGCGCAATCCCAACAACCTGCATACGTTCCCCGTGTCTTCTAGTACATTACTCTATTTTCCTATTGGTCTCTGGAATTCCCAGCCTGCTGTAAACAAAGCAGAATTCATTACATCCATTTCTAGTCACTCAGGAGACGTTTCACGTTTCCACACACCAGTCGCCTGACTGGGAGGGGTGGAGGTACTGGTCTGCTCATCTCCAATTAATGGAAATTAAATCCTTTACCATCTATGTGTGACAATAACTACTTAGAATTACATGCAATTACCATCACCAGCCATAAATCCATTTAATAGTTGTTTATCGTCAGCTTGGCAGTTTCCTGGAGGAGTGGGATGTGTTACTCTCACCCTTCCCTGAGGATGGCACTCCTCTCGTAGTTCTTGGAGACTTCAACATCCACCCAGAAAAACCTCAAGCTGCTGATTTCCACGATCCGCTTGCCTCGTTTGACCTCAAGCGAGTGTCTACTGAGGCTACTCATAAATCAGGCAATCAATTGGTAACCATCCACCCTCTCTGCCCTTCTCCGAGAGCATCGCTCTAAACTCAATGGAGAAGAAGTGGCACAAATCGAAAGATGTAACTAACACTGGTTTGTATTAATCACTCCTTCCTTCCTTCGCTGTAATGTCTCTACTGCTAAAAATGACTTACTATCACCACAAAAAAATTAACAATTCTTCTGACTATCGCACGCTTTTCAAAACCTTCTCTTCTCTTCTCAACCCTCCTCCTCCAGAAGTCCCCAAACTCCTCCTTTCCAATCGCCCTACCACCTGTCCGCTTGATCCTATCCCATCTACTTCATGCCAGCTCTTCCTCAGTTGTGCCCGCACTCACGCACATCATAAACACCTCTCTTCACACTGGTACCTTCCCCACAGCGTTCAAGCAGGCTCGGGTAACCCCACTGCTGAAGAAACCCACTCTGAATCCAGCACATCTGGAAAACTACAGATCGGTATCTCTTCTTCCAGTCACTGCTAAAACACTTAAACCAGTCGTGTTCAGTCAAGTTCATGTGTTTTGGAGGAGGTTTGGCTTTGGACGGCGAGGGAGGGTGGGATCGTATGCTCTCAATGCTAGCAGGCTAAAGTTAGCATTTTTCCAGATCACCAATTGCTCTTTTAATATCACAGGCCTAAAGTCTAACCTGATATTTGAATGTTTAGTTCTCTCGGCCATCGTCATTAATAAGCAGAGGCTTTCGTGTTGTGCTCCGCGTGAAAGATCTCTCTTTTCTGGATAGCGAATAGAAAAAATGCATTAAATGGATTAATATTAATCAGCGGCTTATTGAAGCTGTGCAATCGTGACAGCCCTAGCACTGATGGTAGCCTACAGATCAACCACTGGCTCTGGCGTTCTGCAAGTGAACGGCGCCTTGTGATGACATCAACCCAAAGAGGCACAAATCGACTCAACCCAAGCGCACAACGGCTGAAGACGCATCTTTTTCGTACCACAAGAGCTTGATTTATCAAGTCAGTTTCTTACGACGACGCATTGCTGGCACATTACATATTATTTTTCCCACTCAATTATGTCGTAATAACGAGATGTTATGTCGTTAAAACAACAAATTTTCTAGACCTTATAAGGACATGCATAGTCATGTAGCTACAAAATATGCCTTTATCCACATAAAATGTATATAGCCTATCACGCCTTTATCATCTACGTTCAAAAAGCTGAAGCAATAGCAGCCCCCAATGGACATTCATGTTAAAAGATCAAATTCTGTACACACCTTAATAATAAAGCATGTGTAGCCTACAGGATAGCAGATGAGCCTACAATACGAACATTGCGTTTGACTAGACCCACACATTAAGCGTTTTCCTCCCATAGAAACCCGTTATTAGAAAGAAAACTGCAACGTGGCTTTCTATGGGAGGATGGCATTGAAGTGCACAAATCCTTTAAATTGTATTCAATGCAAAACAAAAATGAAAAATATAAGTAGCCTATAAAATAAACATAAATTATTGTGGCATTAATTAGCCTACAAACAATATTTATTTTAAAGCCTAAACGAATTTATGTAAAGCAAAACACCAGCGTTGGGGTTTATCTGTATAGGCTAGGTGTTGTGTTTCAGCCACCCTTTCAAACTGCGCAGCGCTTGGCTTAGGCTAGAATAAAACATCATTCGACTACTTTTATTTGTGTAAACTCACAATAACAAGAATAATCTGTTATAAAGACGAATGCAGACTGTTTTATACAGCCTCGTCTGAAAGGCAAAGGGGGAGGTGTTGCTGTAATTTATAGTAATATTTTCAAAACCACTAAGAAATCTAGTTTCAAATATACTTCTTTTGAAGTGTTGGTGCTTAATGTAACACTATCTAGTGTAAACGATAAATCACGTTTGAGATTTGTGCTGGTTACTGTATACAGGCCACCAGGGCACCATAAAGATTTTATCGAAGAATTTGCGGACTTTCTATCAGAGTTAGTACTGGTGGCAGATAAAGTACTAATTGTTGGTGATTTTAATATACATGTAGATAATGAAAAAGACATAGCATCGACATAGCATCGTTTTAACGACATAGCATCTCATTATTACGCCATAATTGAGTGGGAAAATAATACGTATGTGGCAGCAATGCGTCACCATAGTTTCTATCTATTTATTTGTAAAATTAAATAGTAGAATATGGCATTAATATATGAATTAATTAATATATAAAACATCAATAGAAAATCTGATTCATCTCTTTCTGGGCTACTGTGTAACATTTGGAGTAAATCTGAAAAACTACATGAACAGAAATGGCCTAGCACGTCCCAGGTCAGTCTCAAGCGCTGTACACACAGCAGTCATAGCTGTGAACCTTCACTCGCCTCACGATTACATCGGATTACGCTCCAGAATGTAACGATTCGATTATAAAATGATCCTCAATGTATCACAATGCATCTTTCCCTCCCATTCTTTTATTATTAATAAACATTACTATATTAAAAATCACAAAATAGCTCTTTTTGTTAGGCCTATTTTATCTTTGTTATTAAAAATAAGAAGAAAGATGCAAATAACAGTCGAAGAAATTTAAGAAACAAATTAAATTAACACTGCTTTTAACATCAAGGACATCCCGCACTTGCTCATGCATGTTCTATTCATACAAACCGAAACCGCAACATCAGACGCAAGTGCATTGCTTTCTAATTAATATATAATACGAGTTCTTTATTTAGCCTACAAAAAAACAGAATATCAATATGTGAGTCAAAGATGAAACGTCACCATTTTGGTGTCGGCATCAAATTACATTTACAAAAGTCATTTTATATACATAAAAACCAGGTTAATGCAAGTTAAGTGTCTACTTTAATATTTAAAATAACTTTTGTGGAAATAAAAAAGCCAAAAAGTAAATGCTGCTAGGGTGGCACTCTTAAAGCCCATTCACACTAAGAACTAGGGATGCAACAACACAGTTAGCCCACGGTTCAATACATACCTCGGTTTTTTAACCACGGTTTTCGGTTCGGTTCGGTTCTGATGGCTTGACACATAAGAGTGTTTTTTTGTTATTCTATGCTTAGGCAATAGGAACAGTAAGAGGTTAAGGAGAAAAAAATAAAAACGATTTATTGCAATACTCCTTTATTTTACTTAAAAGCTAAGAAAAGTCCCCTAGTTCCTAGTGTTATGTAAAATTAACACTGACATTTCACAGCTGCTGGTAGCCCATGTACAAACTGGGGAACACATAAATTCCTAAATTTTGAAAATAAACATACATGTGAAGTTGGTAAACATAAATTGACCATTTCAAATAAACATAGCCTACTTGCCCCTCAGTAAAGTGTTTCCGTTTGAGTAGGCTACACGAGTAAAACAATGCTTGCACACAGTCATTTTTTTGTTTACCGTTTTTTCTTCCACGGCATAATACTCAACGGCAAAACCGAAATGTCCCCACACCACGGATTTGAAAGACGCCGGCGCTTCCTCGTACTGTAGCCTCACTTCACCATGTTAAAGTGTGGAATGATGGTTAAGCCGCGCGCGCCCCCTAACTTTAGAGCATAGTGATTGAATATTTACTCGGGGGGAGGAGTTTCCTCATGTCAGCTCGTAGACATACAGGCACACACAAACAGTCAATAATAACAGTCAAAAATAAAACGCACATAAATTATTTAAACGGAAAACCGGAAAAAATGCAATTCACAAGCGCGTATTGAACCGTGGATGTCGTACCGAACGGTTCAATATTATATTGAGAAATGTGGCATCCCTACTAAGAACAATAGCTATAATGGTAACGTCTCGGTTACGCATCCCTCGGTCAGGCAATGAGAGGTGTCCGAGGTTTACCTGTGCAGCCTGAGGCGTCTCCAGATCAGCTGGACCGCCTGTGGATGGGGTCGCCCTCTCCCGGACGCACAAGCTGACTGCACAATTCAGCAGGCCTGGGGTGTGAACGGCACCATGCCACCTCAGATGACCTCATACGGGAGCGAGATCCAGATCCCTCAACTGCAGGCCCGTGTCCGTGGCAGAGGCATCCGCGGACACACCAGCGCGCCCAGACACACGGTGGGTGCTGGTCTGCCACGCCCGTCTTGGCCCGTGCTGAAGTCTCTGTAAAGCTGCTTTGAAACTATCTGTATTGTATCAGTAAAAGCTATAAAGGTGACGCCACTTGACTTGACTTAATGTGAATGGAAAACGCTGCTCAGGAGAGTTTCAGGATACATACAATGATGTACACTTGTTAATGTGGTTATTCTTCTTGGCATTTTTTAATGATTAATTTAACGATTTAATGGTATAGGTGTGTGTGTGTGTGTGTGTGTGTGTGTGTGTGTGTGTGTGTGTGTGTGTGTGTGTGTGTGTGTGTGTGTGTGTGTGTGTGAATGAGTGCCTGTGTATGGCCGCCTCACTGATGTTGTAATTATTAAATTAAAAATGAGACCCCTATTTGACTCTTTTTGTAGAGTTGTTACTTTTTAGTGCATGTTTAGTGCTTGCATAGGTCATATGGAGTACTTATACAGTGTGGAAATAAGTATTGTGTGTTCCAATGACGGAGGAAAGTCATATAGCTTTAGAACAACATACAGGTATTTATAATAACAATCATTTGCTGATAAGTTACTAATTTGAATAATCAATCATTACTAAGATTTGAACTTTAAGGAGTCTTACTCTTCAGTGTGGCGGCAGTCTGCTGGTCAGCAGTGTCCGTGTAAATGAGAAACGGCGGTCTGAAACTCTCAGGCACCTCTGCAGGGATGAGCAGCTCAGACTGTTGAACACCCTCCAGTGAAGGACATAGGAAATCACTCATTAACAACAATAACCAACAGCAGAGCTCGGTAACAAACACACACTGAAGTGCGTTTGAATGAGATGAGGATAAGCACCTACAGTTTTTAGCAGATGTCCTTCGTATGGATACGTGCCTTGTGTTTTCCCCGTCTTGTCTGCTTTACTCCAGGTCTCTAGTTGTGCAT